CAAAGAAGAAGAAAAAGACCACAGGAATGTACCAGTATATTTTTGAAAAAAAAACAACTACATATCAAAATCTTCAGAAGATTTTAATTTTTAATAAACTTGATGTTTGAAAATGTTAGTCTGTCGGTAAAGATGGCTGGTACTGAACTTGGAAACTTTCTTGTATTTATGCCGTATATACATATGTATGTATCATATATGCTCTACATGATAAATTTATATCAAATCTTTAATTTCTACATAAAATAAAAATAAAGTAATAATGGCTTTTTAATATTTGATATTTTTAATATTTAAACTACAGAACTCATATTAATTAGATATGATAATTAAAAAATAATCATTACTAACAAATATTTTTATAAATAATCCAAAAACCAAACTTTCGTATCATACCAGTAACCCCCATCATATGAATCCTTCTTATAAAAAAAACACACAAAATTATGAGTGGGGTCAAGACAATCAAAAAGCATTATTTTTTTATAGTTATGATATATATATCACATTTTTAAGACCATTTTAAAAAAATATTATAACAATTTTCATAAATAATATTTTCTTTGTCAGAGTCAAGCACCATTAATGGGAAGAGAGTTGAAGGAAATAGACTGATTATTCAACCTATTTTATATAACATCTTCAAGTCCATATCATACTTTCTGAGAAAAAGATGTTATTATTAATTGCTTAGTTTTAGTTAAAAAATATTGACATATTTCCTTATACTCTTATGATACCGTTAATCCATTCATTTAAACATTTGTCTTTTAATATACATATATAATATAGCTCTGACTCTTTTTGGCTTTTTCAGCCTGTAATAATACACCGTTATATTTCTCATTTTCCTTTTAGCTATCGTCTTCCAAATTTTAAAGATATGTTATGTTTCTACCAAACCCACATCATCTATTTTTTTTTACCACCAGTAATTCTGCAATTCTTCTGCAGTCATATTACTGAAATTTCATGCTCCTAGGTAAACTCGACAATAGAACCCATTTAAATAGCCGCCTTTTGCTTTTTCTTGCAAATAATCATCGTTTTCAGCTTCTAACAGATTAAGAATAAATTTTATTTAAAGAGTAAATACTTAACATTAGCCGTAATTTTTTTCTTTCAGTGTAGCAAAAAAATATTCGCAAAAAAACAAGTGAAGCAACAACAATGCTCTTAAAATCTTCAGAGTTAGGCTTTACTCTCTAAAAATCTTAAGTTTCAGTGCAACCAAATTCAAAAATCTGTCTATTGTGAATGTTCACTGGAAATATGTTGCAAAATTCCAACCATCCGTTAAAATCTTATGATGATTTCATTTACTAATAAATTCAAATATATAAATAAATTAATTAATTTAAATATATAAGATAAAAATGCTATTTAAATTTAATCTATTTAATGTTGTTTTTTTACAACTCTGAAAGAAATTACGGCTATTAGTATAAGAAAATATAATGTTACCCAAAATTTTATTAAATTTTTTATGCTTATATATAATACGCTTTACCATTATTATTTATATTGTTATCCAAAACAAAATCTCGACAACTACCGTATACAAATTATCCATAAGTTTTATAAGCTTCCTCACAACATTAAAACTGCTCAGCGAATCAACATCCAGCGACTTAGCTAGCTTCTTTATGTCATAAGAATTGAGGACGGTATATATTAGTTCCCGTAAATCCCATGCGGAGTAAAGGGCTACATCGACCATGAATCACAATGCTCCAGTAAAAAAGTTGTTTAAAGTGACACTATGAAGAGGAAGAGATAGAAAAATACTAGGAGGAGTTCAATGATTAAGTTGCGACTAGTGATGTCTCGACTTTCTAGACTACAGCATTCATGTCTGCTACAGAGGTACCCAGTAAAAATAATGTTTCAGATCGAATTTCGAACTTATTATGAGGACAAGATTATTATACATATGGAGATATTTCTCTTTAATTTTTAATGAACATATTTATTTATGATATATGTTCATTAAAAGTATTTAAAATATTTTTACACACATGGAAGGAAGAACATGACTAAATAGTATCCATCTATATAGTTAGCCAATGGAATATATAATTAAAAGTGTTAACCTACAGTTAACTGAGTATTTTTTATTTTCCATTTTATTTTAACCGTCAAATCAGTGGTTAAGTTAACTAACCGGAGAATTTTGTAATCGTACGATTTTCTTTGGTTAACCGAAGATTTTGAGGAACTTTACAGATTTTTATTATTTTACATAAATTTTTTGTTTTTATTTATCTCAACTATTAGAACAAAACAAAAAAATGTTAACAAGTTAGATATTTTAACAAAAATAACAGAACAACAAAAGATGAAATAAATGCTTGATTTGAAGTTAAATCATCGGTTAACTAATCAAAGGAAATAACTGTGATCGCATGCACTAACAATAACAAGAACCTCTTAACAAAACATTAATAAAAGCCTTTGGCTAACTAATTAGTTATATGAGCGAAGATAAGAAGACTGGTAGTTTAACTTGTGTTTCATTACGTATACACTTGCTTAATTAAGGTATTTTCTTAATAAATTTGACCATTACTTCACTACTTCATACCATTGCAATGTGGTAATACAGAAATAATACAGAAAGAGAAAGTTTGGTGTTCCAAAAAGAACAAACAAATATTTGTAAATACAAAGGGAACAAATATATAATGCCTATTCTCGAGTCGACGTTAATTTTATATTATATATTATTTAATTTAAATTAATTTTTTTAATATATTAATTTTAATAAATTTAATTCCTAATTGTTCACTCAAGGTAGTCTTGACCTACTGCAAAAGAAGTGTGGCAGTAACACCCAATGTTGTGGGTAACATCCATACTGCAAAAATGTACTGAACGAGGACAGGAAGGGTGCTTTTTAGTAATCAATAAGAAGAAATGTCAAAACAGCTTTTAAAATTAATTATCTATTAATTAAATGTCAAACGCTTACAAAATTCTGGTATCGAGTTCATTTAGTAATTAATTGCGTTCAGTTTATACGGACTAATACAATTGTTTTTTTGTTATTATAATACTATATATACAGCTTTTTTTCATCTTCTTTTTTTATTGGTTTACCTATGTATTATTGTCTGTTAAATAAATTGTTGTGGTGTAAACAGCAATTTTAATTGTGGAACAATGTTAAACAGTTAACCTAATAGCACATTTACACTGTCTAATTTAGACGGTTTTGCACATTATAACCACTAATGAAAATGATTTGCCATACCAAACTCGTTTATATAAATGCATTCATTATAAATAAATCAACTCATTTAAGGTGGAAATTGTCGAATGCAACCCTTAAAAATAAATTTCCCACAAGGAAAATTAATAAAAGTTGATTAATTGTCACATTTTCTTATGTGAAATGTGAATAAACAACAGCTGAGCTGTGAAAAAAGGCACTAAAGAAGTAAGTATTTATGAAAATCTTTGTTTTTATTAATTAAGTATGTAATTAATATATAAAATGTATATACATGATTTAACACATCAATTATATATATAATTTTTTTTGTGATATATTATTAGGTAGAGTAAAAATTTGTAAAAATCTGTCAGCTGCATAAATGAGCTTATTATAATATAAACGTCTACTCATTAATAGCCGAAATTTTTCTTTCCGAGTTGTAAAAAAACAGCATTAGGTCTGGTTGAAACAAATTGGCATCAATTTTAAAATATTTCAAATGCTTTTTTTTGACATATGTTTTTGTAGTGTTGTTTACAATATGATATATAAAAATTGTAAACACTAAAAACTAATTAATTTAAATAAAGAAAACAAAATGAATATTGAAGGGCAATGGCTAGCATTTTATTTGATTTTAACAAATGATTTGAATTTTGCAATATATTTTCTTTCAGTGAACATTCACAATAGACTGATTATTGAATTTGGCTCAATATTGAAAGGCAATGGTTAGCATTTTTATCTTATATATTTAAATTTATTTATTCATTTATGTATTTGAATTTATTAGTAAATGAAATGTTCATGTGATTTTAAGGGATGATGGGAATTTTGCAACATATTTCCATTGAACATTCACAATAGACAGATTTTTGTATTTGATTGCACTGAAACTTGAGACGTAATCTTTTTTGCGAATAAAACCTAACTCTGAAGATTTTAAGCGCATTGTCATTGCTTCACATGTTTTCTTTCGTAAGTTGCGAATATTTCTTTTATTTAAAAGAGAAAATTATGGCTAATATATATGAGTAAGTGTCTAAAAGAGACAGTGTGAATGTACTATAATTCTTAGGCTATAATTCTATAATTATTATAATTTTTAATATGCACATCTGAGGTCAGTTATTGCTTAGTCTGTTGAAGTGATAAACAATAATTCAGTCAAAGCGTTATGAAAAAACTTCATAGTTAATATGGAGTAAAAGTGCTTAAGTGCACTAATTCAACAAGCCTCAACATAATAATAAAAATTTACTAGAAAATTTACTATGGAAAACAATTTAAAATGTTAGAAAGAAAGTAAAAATATGCGAAAACTTTATTAATTTTAATATCTATTTAATATTACGTAGAATTAAAAATCAAAATTAAAACATTTAAATATTTTTTTTAAACATGTCAAATTTGTTTTAGGAATTTAAACAAATAACTAAAGTTGATTTATGTTTCAGCGCAGCGCACACAATTTAACGAATCTATGTTTTTTTACGATAAGTTTTGATTTATTCCTAAATTTATTAAACTCTAAATTTTATAAATTTGCTAATTGAGAAATTCAAAAATCATAAATCACGTATTATATTTTTAAAAACGTTTCTATATATGATAAAAGTGATAAAAGTGATAAAAGTGCAAATGACACTGTTGTGAAATATTCTTGACGTGTAAAAGAGTGTTCGGAAAGTATTTTGTTATCGAAAACTGAACGTACCCTTTCGCCATTTTTGTTTCGTTCAGTTTCGTCAAGTGAAGGTTCGGCTGGCGGTGAAATAATTCCACATCGTTCTTTTTTGTCAAATACGCCACAGCAGGCGCGTAGTCTTTTTAAAGTTGGTCAAGAAAATCGTTAAACATCGAAAATGGTAAGCTACGAAAATTAAATAAAATATGTAAATAATCAACAAAAAATTCTGGGAATTGAAAATATTATAATATTTAATATAAAGAACGTATTTAAAGTGATTATATTAAAAATAAAAATATCGTGATGAAATTCAGAGTGACATTATTTACTGTTGTGACTTAAGTACTCACAATTGCATATAAGCTATATGGTGTTGAAATGGTATAAAGGATATATGTGCACCAAATGTATACTTAATTAATATAATAATAAATATTTATTAATTTAATAAAAAAAAAATATACTCGACTAAATTAAAAATGGAATTTTCTCTTTTAGGTCAACTTCACTGTCGATGAGATCCGTGGCTTGATGGACAAGAAACGGAATATCCGTAATATGTCCGTCATTGCTCATGTCGATCATGGTAAATCTACTTTAACCGATTCTTTGGTAAGCATGCAAATAAAATATTTAATTTTTTTCGTGTATTTATACGAATGATTTTTCAGGTATCAAAAGCTGGTATTATTGCTGGAGCCAAAGCAGGTGAAACTCGTTTCACTGATACACGTAAAGATGAGCAGGAGCGTTGCATTACTATTAAATCAACGTAAGAATGTTTTGTTATATTTTTGTAAATATGTGGTTTAAAAAAAGGATTTAATATTACAGCGCTATTTCCATGTACTTCGAAGTTGAGGACAAAGATTTGGTTTTCATTACAACCCCTGATCAACGTGAGAAAGATTGCAAAGGTTTCTTGATAAACTTGATTGACTCACCTGGACACGTCGATTTCTCGTCTGAGGTAACAGCAGCTTTGCGTGTAACTGACGGTGCCTTGGTTGTTGTCGATTGTGTGTCTGGTGTATGTGTACAAACTGAGACTGTATTGCGCCAAGCAATTGCTGAACGTATCAAGCCAATTCTGTTCATGAACAAAATGGATCGCGCATTGCTCGAACTCCAACTGGACGCTGAAGAACTTTATCAAACGTTTCAACGTATTGTAGAAAACGTGAACGTTATTATTGCAACATACAACGACGATGGCGGTCCAATGGGCGAAGTGAGGGTAGATCCCTCTAAAGGTTCTGTTGGCTTCGGCTCAGGTCTACACGGTTGGGCGTTCACACTCAAACAATTCTCTGAAATGTACTCTGAAAAGTTTAAAATCGATGTGGTGAAACTAATGAACAGGTAAGTCAGATCGAATCGAATCGAATCTATTTCTTGAATTGCTTTTAGCACAATTTGTGTTGCACATAAGGTTCATGTCCCATCACTTTGTGATAAATGTGAGCCTGATGAACGTGCAATTAGTGCACTTCAATAAAAGCAGAATAAATCCCAATTCTATATATTTGAAACGCTGCTCAGCGACCTCTTTCCTAATGTCTGATATGAGCACGCTAAGAATATCGTAGAAACAATCGTTATAATATTAAAATTAATTAGAAAGGATGTATGAAAACGTGTATGATTTTCAGGTTGTGGGGCGAAAACTTCTTCAATGCTAAAACTAAGAAATGGCAAAAACAGAAAGAAGCAGATAACAAACGTTCTTTCTGCATGTATATTTTGGATCCAATTTATAAAGTTTTTGATGCTATAATGAATTACAAAAAGGAAGAAGTTCCAACTTTATTGGAAAAGATTGGTGTTGCATTAAAACACGAAGATAAGGACAAAGATGGTAAAGCACTTCTTAAAGTAGTCATGCGTACCTGGTTGCCCGCTGGTGAAGCTTTACTTCAAATGATAGCCATTCATTTGCCTTCACCTGTTGTAGCCCAAAAGTATCGTATGGAAATGTTGTACGAAGGACCTCATGATGATGAAGCCGCAGTTGCTGTTAAAAATTGTGATCCAGACGGTCCTCTCATGATGTACATTTCAAAAATGGTACCGACATCTGATAAAGGTCGTTTTTATGCTTTCGGTCGTGTTTTCTCTGGTAAAGTTGCTACAGGACAGAAGTGCCGTATTATGGGACCAAACTATGTTCCCGGAAAGAAAGAAGATCTTTATGAAAAAGCTATTCAGCGTACTATTTTGATGATGGGTCGCTATGTTGAGGCTATTGAAGATGTACCTTCTGGTAATATTTGCGGTCTTGTTGGTGTAGATCAATTCTTGGTGAAAACAGGTACCATTACCACATTCAAGGATGCACATAACATGAAGGTATAATTTGTAAAAGTGATAAGTGAAAGCTTGGATTTAATTTATTGTTTAATTATAGGTGATGAAGTTCTCTGTATCTCCTGTTGTGCGTGTTGCAGTAGAGCCTAAAAATCCAGCTGACTTGCCAAAACTAGTAGAAGGTCTTAAACGTTTAGCTAAGTCCGATCCTATGGTACAGTGTATTATTGAAGAATCTGGCGAACACATCATTGCTGGTGCCGGTGAATTGCATTTAGAAATTTGCTTGAAAGATTTAGAAGAAGATCATGCCTGTATCCCACTTAAGAAATCAGATCCCGTTGTATCATATCGTGAAACCGTTTTTGAAGAATCCAACCAAATGTGCTTATCTAAATCACCAAACAAACATAACCGTTTGATTATGAAAGCTATGCCTATGCCCGATGGTTTACCAGAAGATATTGATAATGGAGACGTTAGCTCAAAGGATGATTTCAAAGTGCGTGCTCGTTATTTGGCTGAGAAATACGATTATGATGTAACTGAAGCTCGTAAGATTTGGTGCTTTGGACCTGATGGTACAGGCCCCAACTTTATCTTGGATTGTACTAAATCTGTGCAATATCTAAATGAAATTAAAGATTCAGTTGTTGCTGGTTTCCAATGGGCAACAAAAGAAGGTATCATGGCTGAAGAAAATATGCGAGGTGTACGTTTCAACATTTATGATGTGACATTACACGCTGACGCTATCCATCGTGGTGGTGGCCAAATCATTCCAACAGCACGTCGTTGTTTATATGCTGCAGCTATTACTGCATCACCTCGCATTATGGAACCTGTGTACTTATGTGAAATTCAATGTCCTGAAGTAGCTGTTGGTGGCATCTACGGTGTACTTAATAGGCGTCGTGGACATGTATTCGAAGAATCACAAGTTGTAGGAACACCTATGTTCGTTGTTAAAGCATATTTACCCGTAAACGAATCCTTCGGATTCACAGCTGATTTACGTTCTAACACTGGCGGTCAAGCCTTCCCACAATGTGTGTTTGATCACTGGCAAGTACTTCCAGGCGATCCATCTGAACCATCAAGCAAGCCTTATACAATCGTGCAGGATACACGCAAACGCAAAGGTCTTAAGGAAGGTCTACCTGATTTAACTCAATACCTTGATAAGTTGTAATCAGGATTAAAGGAAACAGTGTTTTATAGCACATCGCAAAATTATGATATACAAACAAACAATTAATACATTTAATTAACTGAGATAATTTAATTAAAAACAATAAAATGTAAATATTTTTTACATTTAAAGCAATTATATCATAAATATTTGTTTAAATGGGGTCACAAGAAACATAATCGCATACATATATACTACTAATTAATGGCATGTGCATTTTTCGAACAAAATAATTATTGAGGAACTTTTAGATTTTCTATTTTTTCTACTATTATTTTTGAAGTTAAGTTATTTTGTAGCTACACTTTCTGTTAAATTGTAAAAACACTTAAAATCCAATATCAGTTGTTTTTTTATACATACATAGAAATATTTGTTTCATATTGTATATCATCTATTATTTAGTTTAAATTTATAATGAAAAGTTACAAATTATGGGATATTTTTTTTTTTTATTATTTTAAATGCAATGATCATCCAAGCTAGACTATTTTTTATTGAAAATTTTTAATATTGAAAAGTTAAGTTAATTAAAAAATTGAGTAAAAGGTATAATAATTATATGTATATTTAAAAGTGTATTTATCCGTCTATTCACTAAGTAAAAGAATTTAAAAATCGCTATTGATTGGTACGAATGTATTACGCCGCCTTTAAATAAATTATGTTAACCAATCGGAAGGCTTTTATTTTGTATATAATGAAAGAAATTTAAGTAGGAACAGTAGACTTATCGTTATCGTAAATAATTTAATTCATAAATAGGGGCAGTAAGAAAGGTTTCCTTGAGTCTCCATAACAGCACGACTTAAATTTAAAGGTCTTCACTAGGTCTTAAACTCAATAACTAGAAAATGATTTATATCGGGTAAGGATTTGGTGTGTGGTGTGGTAGATATACTTACATCTATAGATATACTTATAACCGATATAGGTTAAGGAATTGGCTGCTGGGCTAGACTTGTTAAATAATTTTTGCAGATCATAATTAGGCTATGGGGAATCCTTGATTTGTTGCATCGCCGCATCAAGAAATTGTCTATAAACGTGCTGGTAAAATAGATTATCCTACCTAAATCTGATAAAAATGATTTCATCAGACTGTTTTATTGCATAATTTCATCAGATTGTTTTATTGCATAATTTCATCAGATTGTTTTATTGCATAATTTCATCAGATTGTTTTATTAAAAATTTCATCAAATTATTTAAATTAAATATTTCATAAGATTGTTTTATTAAACAATTTCGTCACATTGTCTTTTTAAATGATTTCACCAGATTGTCAAATTGCAGTAATTATGCAAGTATTTTGCTCAGACCGTATATTGCGCATTGATAGATAAATGGCTTACTTTATCAATTTTACCAGGCCAAAGTGCTATCGCCAGTATTTAGTATTATTTAGTATAGAAAAATAAATTGCATACAAAATTATTAATAAATAATAATTTTTTATTGCAAATTTTATTTGAAATAAAAGTGTAAGCCAAGAAGACGTTAGATCTATGCTTTAATTTTCCTTTATGTTGACGAATGGTTGATATAACCAAGGGTGTGACAATTGGTCATTATTTATTTATTATTAAAGTCTTGCTAGATTTCGAGTCAAACAGTTGATTTCGAGCTGTCTCTTATACTGAGCATAGGCTATATATTAGTAGTTTCAATTGACTTCTTTGCAAAACGATGTCCCTGATAGGGCTGATACTGCTGTAGTTTCTACTTTTGTATGTTTGCCTTGATTGCACTTAAAGTTGAACGTCTTCATGTAGAGCAAAATCGCCGTCTGAGGCTGTTGCCTTGGCGATTATATTGTAGGGCCATATTTCGTATAGAGGTCTAGAACCTTTTCTACTCCAAATATCAATATTTATATCTTTCATATTTGTTCTGGACCATAGCTACTCGTTGGTGATAGTATTTAGCCAGAAGATACGGAGAATACTGTGAAGACATCGGTTGACAAAGCTGCGTAGTTTTTGTTGCACTCTTTATATTACAAATCACGCTTCGCAGCCATAGAGAAGAACTGACAGAACACAAGAGTTGAATATGGTGACTTTCGTCTTTGTGCGGAAAAATTTAGATGACCATATTTTATTCATTCGAGGAAATACACCAAATGCTTTCTTAGTTCTTGCAACTACATCAGCAACAGTGCCTCCATGAGATATTACAACTCTTCCTAAATATTGGGACTCTTTGACACATTCTACCTGTGCGCCATTACGATTTAATGGTTGATTCGCATTTCATTTGTTTTGACAGCGTTATGGCCTTTTAATGGCCAACCTTCGAGGATTCATAGGCAAGAATTTGTCTTGATTGTCGCTTCGTCTATTGGTTAATTCACATTTATTATCTGCTTAATCTAATGGCAAGATTTAGAGGATGTCAGATAATACAACGAGGTTTGTTTTGTGTTGTTCGTCTCGTAACAGCATCTATGACAAATGAGAAGGGTAAGTCATTGAAGAGAAGAGCAATTTAATATAAATCTTTTAAATAGTACAACGTTTAAATACGTTATACTATACTATTGGTAGTATTGTTTGTTTGAAATATTTAACTTGTACCCCCATCTTCTCCCCTATAAGTATTTAATGAAGTTATTTAGTTTTTATTTGTTGACTATCTCGTCATCTGTAAACCCAGTTCTTCTTAGGCTTTGAGTGTCAGCGGTCGCATTTATTAACAATAAGCTTATTTCCACATAATTTTTAATTTAAATCTTCAATACTACAAATAATACTTATTAACTATTACTTAATAATACTTATAACTAATCATAAAATGTAACATTTAACTTTTTATATTCAACTTCATGATTTTACATTAAACTACAATCTATACAGCATTCAAAAAGCGTCTCACGATATGATATTTACTATCGCTATGTAAAGCTCTCTCGATCGCACAGAGTGTATCAATTCACCGATAATTCAAAGTCCTATCCAGGTACGAATATTCCTTAACCATGAGAGTTATTTCTGTTCAATACCTCTGCGACCCTCTATACGGCTTTGAAATATAAGTTGCAATACATTGTATTCGGATGCACGCATTAAGTGTCCCAAGTATGCTTTTTTTCTTTCTTGCTGCATTCTCCAGAGCACTTCTACATTGGTAACTCTATCAGTCAAAGGTATTTTCAATAGAGGGTGAAAAAACTACATATCGAAAGCCTCCAATTTATTTATTACAGTTGTTTTAAAGTCCAAGTTTCTATTCCATAGAGTAAGACTGACCACAGGTAAAATTTCATATATCCCATTCTAAGCAGTAGACTAAATTCTGCATTTTATACTTGATTCCTTAATTTAAAAAAATAAGGTTATGAGAAATAAATTATATATTAATAATATATAAGCGAATAAAACATAAGACAGTTCATCCTTAACTGCTTTGACGTCATCATATCAAGAAGATTCGTCTTCTGATTCTGAAATAATGGATTTACAAGAAAATTTATCCGTCCAAACTGAGAGCACACAGTCCGATATTAATAAAACTTCTATCAGGAAAAAATTTATCACTCCAAAGTTATGGCAGCTTTAGACAGATGATAGTTAATTATGAGAAATTCTGCATTTATTATTGAAGCTACTATTGAGGTACTTGGATACAACACTGACGAATTTCCCATACGCAAGTCCTCCATTCAAAGAATTCGTACGAAAAACGAAAAGAGCGTGCAAAATTATAAAAGTCGATTTCCAAAACGAGGTACCAGATACTGTAACTGTCCATTGGGATAGGATGTAGGGGCATTTCATTCTCCTCATGCCCACTGAATGTGTGTATTGTATACATTTATGGTATTTGTTGCCCTAATTTTTTGCGGAGAAAGTTCGCTGTTTGCCAGGCCCGACTTCAATGTTTTTCATGTATTCTTAAATTAAACGTTGCTTTTTCTTTAATTCTGCATATTATCGGTTTTATTGACGGTGTATTCTGGGCGTATTGTCTTACCCGACACTTCAGATATTATTTTATCTAAAATACTGGCGTTTTGCGTTATTGTCGCGTTAATTTTTTAATGAAAGGCCGTTACTGAGGCCCCTAAAATAAACTATCAAATGATAACTTGCGGGAATAGTGTCCAAGAGGGATAGAAAACAAAGAACGGCACTACAACAACAAAAATATACATGGAATTTTTTTGGAGAAAGTCACAGTGAAGTTTTTTGAAGTGTTGCAATTATTGAGGAGTAAAGAAGTGAGGAGTAAAGAGTTGCACTTACCGAGAACATACAACATTGAAATAAATATTTGATAGAAACCTCAATCACAAGTGTGTTTTATTTACATATGCTTTTGGAACAATAAAATGGTTACCCTGTATTTGTTTTTTTTAAGTAAATTTGACTCAAATATTTTGATTTCGATCTCACAACGGTGTATAGTATATATAGTTATTTCACAAAAAGTTTTTGATACTTTTCTTCACTTATATTATATACATACTATATATACTCACATATATCGTTTGATATTCATTCCCATACACCTGGATGATCAATTATTCGTCTATAGTCTCATACTTTCCTATTTCTGAATTCATTTTTAATAACATCAATCCATCTTTATAATATATATATTTTTTATTTATAATCTTAAATTATATTATTAATGAATTGAATGAGCACATATGGTCAGACGCAAGTGGCTCATTCAGTTTATCGGCCATAGCAGGAACAGAAATGCATTCTCAGTAACAAATTTACCTCACCATGTGCATATATAATATATATATGCGAGATTAGTAAATTTTTAATAATTAAAAACATAAATATGGTTCAAATTTTTTTATTAGATTTATTTTTATAATATAGTCAACCAATACAACACAATTAACAACAATGAAATTTCTTGGATTAATACATAGGTACGTATGTTATAGTATATGTTATAGTCCATTGGCAAAACAATTTTCTCTCAATGGCTTTGTAAACCTAAATGCTTTTTACACAGACTTATTCAAAATTTATAAACAAAACATTCTAAGTTTTAAATTATGTGGCAGTTAGTTGGTAAGAATTCGTTTTAAATATTTTGTTCAAAAAGTATCAGGAATTTGTTATTTAAATCACGTCCACTTCGGTTATCAGAAATAATTATTTTTTCAAGATATGTTGTTTAAATTTTTATTGCCTTTATGCGATGAAAAAATATTACACTATTTGTTACAATAGATTATCTTAATTCTGAACCATATAGCTCTTGGGCAATCTCATCTATACATTTATTGTCTAGCTGTCCTCTGCTTCGGATTTTTCCACATTATCTGCATGCTTTTAGGGGGTAAGTTATATCGACTCTTAGTTTGTTTTCTTTTATAATTGTCAACATATCCGGATAGTCATAACACGAGTATGTTAGTTCGTGATTATATATTGTTGATATTGTAGCCCATAATAACTCAGGAAGCAAGCATGTTTAGGGATGGCAAGATTTATACGAAAGTAGTAGAAGGTATTGTATAGAACTTCTCTATGATAAATATAATAAAAATTTAGGTGAGAATAATTAAATCTAAATTGGTTTAATGGGTGTGAACTATAATTAAATAGTGCGCAAATTAGTATGTATGTTAAAACAGTCCAATAGGACAATATTATAGGGATCATAACTGTAGTTGGGGTACACATTCTTGTCAAACGTATTTATTCGCGCTGGGTATATTGGAAAGTAAAGTTTTTCATAAGATCTTTGGTCCTCTACGAATTGGCGACGACTACAACATACGAATGAACAACGAGCTGTATGAGCTTTATTACGACGTTGACATAGGTATTTCAGCGAGTTAACATTCTTCGGCTTCGTGATCTTGGTCATGTCGTGAGAATGGCTAAAGATACTTCGGCGAAAAATGTGTTTAAAGAAGTAATTGGCGGAAGAAGACGTACGAAACTGGAAAAGGAGTGCACACAGCAGAGACATCTAGGGAGACATGGCCAAATAGGTAAGTAAGTAATTTACACGTAAGAAATAACTGTTTAGCACGTGAGTAAATTCACACTTTAATTAGGTCAGCCCAGTTTTTAACGCAAGTGAGATATTTTTCAAGCGAAATTTTTATGTGAACTCCACTGTAATGGCAACCATTGTTTCAAGGAAGAATTAGATCAATGGGTGGCAGGCACGAAAAAAGAAGTTTCTTTTGACTATAACCCCATTTGATTCCAAGAATATTTCTGTTTGATTGCTAGATTGATTAACTTCCGGAACCACACGTTTACACAGATAACTAAACGTCGCTCGCCTTTCCCTCCAATAGTAAGAAAGTATGTATATGTTGTCAGGTTCAGTTGTCGTGTGTTGCTCCAAAAACCTTAACTGATATCATCCAGCTATCTGATAATAATTTAATTAATAATTATTAATGAGAAAACATTATTCGTATTTCACTTACTTCCTAAAATTTAAGTGTTAAATTCCCTGTATGTTGGGCAATCTCATCTATACATCTTTGTCTTAGATGGTCTCTGCTCTAACTATCGCCATATCGCCATATTACCATATCATGATTTTTTGCATGTTAGTAATATATGTAACTTATTTTTCTTGAGTTTTATGCTAGCTTTCGTAGGTATATAAAAGATATGCATATTTTAGGAACTGTGTGGGAAGATCCTTTATGGTTTTGTTAAGAACATTGATTTTGATGTGTTCTAATTGTGCAAAGAAGCAGTACATGCAGTAGTTATTCTTTAGTTAATTTCATGGATTATTTCATCTGAATAATCAGTAGGATATAGTGGTCTCCTATATTAGCATTTAACTCACATTACATATGTGATTCGAAATGGATTTAAAAATTGTTGAGATTCATATTTTGTTTATTTTTGTTTGTTATAAACGTTATTGTAACGCATTATTACAAATGACTAGATGTGGATGCCAAAAGGGATTAACAATATTAGAAGTAGCGCTTGGAATATGTGACCAGAAACAAAACACAAAAACACATAATTTCATAAACCCTAAATTCCTGATACTTTTTAAACAATGGATATTGTTCTTCATTCTAATATATTTGAAATTTTCTTTTTCATTTGTTGTTGCGAAAATAACGTGTTTATAATATTAATTTATTTTATAGAGCGAAAAGTTAAAATACATTAAAAATTTCAGATACTTTTTTAAGAGATGATAATGATGAATATTTCAATATAACATTTATTAAATTGAAGAATTGAAATATCAAATTTATTGCTTAAGGAATTTGTATCTCTAGTATCTCAAGTTTTTGTTAAAAGAATTTGTGTCTCAATAATCAGTTAGGGAATATATTGAATATTATTTACATACATCCGGCATCCAATCTCAACGAACTGTCTATATTAACTATTAGAAAACTCATATGGCATTTATAATTTCAGACGTTTTTATAAATATTCAAGCTTCATTTCTAAAAAATTGTGATTCTTTAAATTGCATTTCTTTAATACTAGAAAAATTTATGGGCGATCGTCAAACAATTTAAGAATGCTGTATATACAGCAAAAATTTTTTTAAATGGATGGATGTTCTCATAAAAGGGCGACTCTCTAAATCGCGTTATACTTATAGTCTCCAGTTTCAGTTAAATTCTTTTAAATGAATTGTATTCCTAGCCTGGCAGAATTATCCCATCGGCATCCACTGAAGAGAATTTGCACTATATGTTATATATTAAGTGGGGCTTCAAAATTCTTCATCACTACGTTACAAACATTTTAACAATCTTTATATACAAAATATGTGTGAAAATAAAAAAAGAATATTATTATATTTAAAAAAATATATTATATTCTTAAAAAAAATATTAATTCAAAAAAAATATATATTATATTCAAAAAAAAAATATTATATTCAAAAAAAAAATATATTATATTCAAAAAAAAATATTATATTCAAAAAAATAAAAAATTATATTAAAAAAACAAAAAAAAAATATATTAAAAAAAAAAAAATATAATAATATAAAAAATATCTCAAACATAAGCGAAAGTTGAAAAATAATAAAATAAGTACTGTTCGGTTTATAGAACTCTCCTGAAACCTGGGAAATATGAAAGCCGAGCAAAATTGATGATTTAAAAAGATATTCGTTCGTAAGATCATAGGTTTAACGGAGAACTTAATCTATTTAAGAATTTATCTTAAAATATTGGAAAAGTGTCTTCACTATGAAAAGTATTTAAACATTTTTGCGGAGTTTCTGGTTGAATTTTTTTGAACTTCCATACTGTCTTATGGTTACTTCGCGATTTTTTGCATTTAAACTACTGTCGGTAGTATGACAATAAATGGAGTTTTGTGTATCTGGTTTAGCTTTTTTCGAATCCTTCATATAACTTATCGAGATTAAACTTTTTGATTTATTCATCATCAAAGCAGACTTGCGACAGTTATAAGAATTTTCCAAACATGATAAATTATATAGACGATAATTTTTGTCATTAGAGATGACATGATTTTGTGGTTCCTGGTGCAAAATCTTAGACACAACATTTTGATCCTTTTTGCCGTTTTTTAACAACTCCAATGCCTGACTATCTTGATGTTTTAATTCTTTAGCTAAATCGTAATGTTTAGTATCTACTTTAGATAGCCCATGTGGCTTATGCGTATTTTGTATAGAATGTTTTTTCGAAAACTGTTCAATATTATTTTCTTTGTTTTTTTCATGTGGATATTTTTTTATATAAAGCTTAAAATCCTTATCTTTATTGTAGTTGTTGTAATTAAGACGTGGACCACAACTACCATAACGTTTCATGGTAACATTAACTGGGTCATTCTTAGAAGGACATACCTTTAAGATGTTAGGATGACATTTTGATAAGTTTGTATAAGATCTTTTAAGGACCACACTTGTGTGAAGCGATTTTAGTAAATTAGGACACGCAGTCGTTGAAGTGGGGCCGTGGTAAATATTTTGTTTCGCATTTGTTGAAATACTTCTATATTGGTATTGGTGAACATTTCCGACAATACCGCCATTAAAGAGACCACGAGAGTTACCTGAAACTTCTCCCATGTTCTTTTCTACAATTTCTGTTGCATTGAACATCGGCATTTCTTTGTGTACGTGTGAAATAGAGGACGTTTTTTGTCTGTGAGTAGTCATGACATTAAAGAGACGATGTTCCTTACGTTGGTGATAACTAGCTTGACAATTATTAACTTTGGACATAACTTGTTTTCCTTTCACAAATAGATTCAGGCCCATATAAGCTGGAGTTGGAGGAATCATTTGTCTATATGCCAACTCAAAGTTGCCAACATCTGTTTTAGCATCTAAACGCCGATCGATTACAACTTAAAGAAAAATGTTATTCATTTTTAATATGTGATATTGAAATTAATTACGAACCTTTAATCACATCTTCTAGACACTGTGGACACATGCGAGCAGTAACACTTGTTGTTGCACTTAAGTCTGGACTTGAGTTGATTTCAATTAACCATGGATAAAAATTTTCACATATCATAAAATCAGCTCCGAAAAGTTCAAATGTATTAGAACGCCTATCCATATTCTCCTGCGAGGCAAGCATTGTTCCAACAATAGCTTTCCTCATACCTGGATATATACGACTTAACCACATGTCATATTTTCCAATTTGTCGCAAATATGCTTGAAATGAATAACAATCCCACATATTTTCATTTGGTAATCGTTTGTCCCGTTTCCCTATGCCATATTTCTTCTGTATCGCATAATTGGTTAGATGAACTGATTCATGGTAATTCGATAGATTGTATTCTTGCGAACTAAAACGAAGATAGCTCTCCTTGTACATCCAAATTATTAGTGGCTGCACATTGGTTATCAGAAACCACTGTCGTATATCGAATTTTGTGTTATGAATTGTTAGAGGTTTCTCTGGAATGTAAAACATATAAATATAATGAAGTATTTTTTTTTTAAAAATTGGGAGCATAATACTATACAATTTTAAATGATATATAGAAGATATATCCGTCTGTCCGTCCATTAAATCAGAAAATTCTATATTATGCTACCAAATTTTTAAATAATTAATTAGGTTAGCATTGATATCGGTTTCTCTCTTCAAGAGACGTTAGTCTGTTGTGATATCTCACAAGAAGTATAAATGCTATTAGAGTCACTCGAGATATGTTCCAGCTGGTAGAATTTCAAAACAGATATTATTTTTTACTATATCCTAGACTAGAATAGGTGATGTGAAATTATTTAATTACTTCCTCTTGACCTTCATCACCTTAGCTTCTGCGGAAACCATTAGAAGTAGCACGAAACAGATACGTAATACAACATCCATCTTCTTAGTTCGTCAAACACATTAAATTAATTATGAATTTTATTAAGAAAACTTTAGACTTTTAAAATGCATTTTTTTTATCAGGAAAATATAATAGTGAAATAGACTAACATTAATGAAAGAAATAGACTAACATCATATGATCAATAATATAATGGATCTCATCTGATTATTTCAAATAATAATTCAGTAAAAACTATGTTGAGCGGATAATCATAATCTACCAATTTTTTCGTTCACAATGGAATCTCCGAGTTTTATTTCTTCCAAAATAAATTTTATTGTCAAAAAACTTTTCATACGAGAACAGTTTTCGAACAACAGAAGGTCCGTTAACAAAGTTTCTACTATACAATGTAAATGGCAAAAGAAATGTGTGTTATATATATCTATATCTATAAACTAAGAGTATACAAAGACTTAAAGAGACTACAAATCTTAGCAGTTATACCCAAGATATAATAAATATTTAATTCTTTGATAACCAAACCTGTTATTATTACGTTATAATGGACAAATAATCAATAGATTATAATATTCAATAGTCGTAAATATGTAATTAAACTATGTAAGCTAAATTAATTTAAATTAATTTAATATCTTATCTGCCAGTCTTTCGTTTGTAATACTAGCTGTATGCCATACATATTGAATGGATGCTTTATTTTATTTATTTATTTATGTAGGCGATTCTTAGGAATTATACGTAAAGCATAGCACATACTTTTTAGAAGATATATGTATATTAATCAAACAAATTACTTTTTGCAAGAGTGACTTGGGCCAGATACACAAATACACTTATTTATGAGACGGCTCATAACTGCTATTCGGCTTTCATCGTTTTTAAGAAAGGCGAGAAAGCAGATTTTCTCAGAAATAATGGAACTACTACCCGAGGCAAAACAACACAAAATTGAAAAAATATTTATAAGTTGTCTACACATATATAGTATTGACATATAGTACGTGCGTTCAACTTCTTGGGATAGCGATTATAATCTATACACATAATTTTTAAGAAAAATTTATAGACTAAAATTTTGTTTTGACATCTAGATAAGTTATATATCTGTTGCATTTAATTCGCCAACTATATTGTGAGGGCAAATTTTTATCATAGCTATGCGCATTCCTGACATTACTATATACCACAAATATCACAACAACTAAGACTCTACATATTGTAAGAATTTTATCACTGTCATGCTTTCTTGTGAAATGAATATTAACCATGACTGAAATGTATGAAAATATTTTTTCCTCCCGAACACACTTTGTTTTAATTTCAAAAGATCATCAGATCATGCTATGTATGATACTGTTTCATTCAGAAACTCGTATAGGTTCGCTGAGTCGACCACACATTTATATTAATACAATGGCCCATACAACCTATGTGGCTCTTAATTTCTTAGATTTTCTGTTTTCATCCATAACATATATAATGTTTGTCACAGACTTTCATTTTTTATTATTTTCTATATAATCACACTCACCAATGTATTTTTGAACAACATAACGACTTTTTGAAGCAATCGGTGGATTTACAACAGTTAAAATTTTTTTTAAATTATCCAATAACTGTATGCCTCTACCTCGGCATTTATTAGCTGGCTTAACAATCCATAAATTTTGCCAACCATCTAACGAATATTGTGGCCAATATGATTTTATAGTATCTAATATATGATTCGCAGTTTTTAAAACTGTGTCACAATCATGATGATCGTCTATACAAATTGCCATACTTTCATTTGCCACTTGGTAATGCTGATAGAGAAACAGATCCCATTCATGATCCCATATCTTTGGAGAATTTTCAAAATCAATATCACAATGCTGACAACACTCAATAAATTCTGTACACCGTTTAAAAGCGAATTCAACAGCAGAATATGGAATCTTTCCCGAAGTTGAAAACAATTTCTTGACAGCATTTAATTCATATTTCTCAGTTATAATTCGAATAAAGGCAATGCACGCAGTCAATTTATAATTCTCAACAAATTCACTTAATTCCTCAGGATTCCATACATTAAAACAGCGTGGAAAATACATTTCAGCAATATTCTCTTCGTAAAACCAATGAAAATCCTTCAATTGGTTACATAAGCCCTCCTTAGATGTAAATGGCGCACGATGAAATTTATTAATAGTCATAGTAGGATTCTTAGCCTGATCTATGTAATCACATTTCTCCTTACGATTAGTCCACAGAAAGTCAATTGGCATATGCTCCAAAAACCGTGACATAATATTACGCTCACATTTATTTATATATTGACTACGAGTCTCTCCAGCTTTTCGTTTTGGTAATCCTTGCGAAAGGTCTTCATAAGATATTTGGCATATGCCCGTTGGAAAATGTTTTCGATGCATATCTAACTTTTCTACCCATCCACGACAAATCAGAGCGTTTCGCACCGATTGAAAACAGCCCCGAATGGTAAAAGTTTTATTTTGCTTCATTGCTTCTAACGCTTTTCGACGAAGCTCATTAATTCGGTCAGTAGTAATCCATGAGCGTCGATGGCCGTAGCCATTTAAAGGAACACATGCTGATTCCTTCGAAATATTTTTTGATTTCAAAGTGGAATTGTCCGTTACTTCTTTGCTTAAAGTTGTGTTTTTCGTTTCTGCGTTAAGATCTGAATTAATAATAACAAAATCTTCCCGTTCTCCTTTAGCCACTTCATTAGTATTCGCATCTTCAACTTTATTGTGCATATCCTAGTTGACCGAGTAACAAATGAAACGGTATATGCACAAGGCTTAACTTAATTTACTACTGATTCAATTCGATTCCCTATGCTTCAATCAACCTTATCCACACACATATCTATTAAATTTATTTATTTTGCTTATGCAAGCCCACCGACACACAAACGCCTGCTCCAATGCAATGCGCACTCGTTCAAAGTTAAGTTGAAACAAAAACTTTTCGCTGCACGAAAGAAAAATTTGCAACCTACTTTTCCAAACATACTTACTTAGAAGTTTTTGCTTAGTTTTTGGGACCTATGTATCCGTAAGACATACATCTACTTGTGTACACGTCTATAGTACTTTATCACGTTATGTCTGTAAGCATGCAATGTGTTTGGTAGGCATTCTCTGAAAACAAGCATACAGAATACAGAATGAAACCTATATTTACCATACTCATATGTATGTTGTGGACGTACACACATCCCAAAGACATAAAAAGTAAACCACTCTATAGTTTAATACATTTAGATACTAGGTTCTTAACTAAAAATAGCACATTTTTAGTTAAAAGCTTGATTTTATAACCTAGGGATAGTGATTATAATGTTATAATGTCAGTAACAAAGCATTATAGACCAATATGTATTTATTTGAATAATAAATAATTTATATAAAATTATTATCAAAACAGGGTGTTTCTTATCAAATGTCAGTGTAGACGTTAATTTCTTGATCCAAAGAAGTTTAGGTTGATAAAGTACATTGAGAAAAAAATTTAAACAAAATAAAATCAGAGAGCGATTACATGGTCTTACATGGTATTATTTTTAAAAATAGTGTTCTTAGTGGTTTTTGCAGAAAAAATCATTTATTTCAAATTTTGGAGAGTTTCCAGTTACCCAAACACGATGATTTGACAATGGATTTCGATCAATTTCAGTATTCAGAGAGAAGAACTTGTTGCATGACACTTTATCTGTTATCTGATAAAGTATATATGATATTTGTATAGCATAAAATATATAAATTTAATATAATATTAATAATATACTTTATAAGTTTGTATATTAGTACCTTTTTATATTAGACACAGTGTTCCTACAACAGTTCTTTAAATAAAACTACCTTCAGCTCCTTTTTATAAAAAAGACGCAAGTGTGTAATAAAATTAATATTGTCTTGGGTTTATGCAGGATGTGCATGTAAAACCATGCCTCAATCTCCTACTTAAAACTGAGTCTATAGTAATATTTGATAATAAAAAAAATTTCGTGGAGTTATTCATGCGGAGAGAAGGTTTAAAACTGGTATGCCTAGTTTGCACGGACTAAAAACAACCCCTCTCATGTACCAGACTATACATGATAGATCCTTAACGAAGGTATAGGCATGTGTTTGTCTAAGCAGTCAAGTACAGCAGTTGAAAACAGATATCCGATTAGTTTTCAATTAATTTGGTTTAACCGTCTATTTGGTCTTTTTTTTGTTTTAGCTTTGCTGGAGTTTTAATACTCTAGAGTGATTAGAGCAATGACAGAAAAAGAAAAAACTAGTTTTGATATTCTCGAAGGAAATTAGTGTATGTTAGAATGAAACAAGAAGAAAATTTTATGTTTACTGAAGTTCCCTAATTCTTTACATAAATAGGATTAATGACAGAAATAATATGATTTGACTAAGCCAAATAACCTAACCTAACCTATCGGAACTTAATTGATTATTTGTATAACTTTGTTTTGCTCATCATTTTTTAAAATTGAAATTTCTTCAAATGTGATTCCATCTGATCCGCTTCTAGACTACGTCCATGAATTTTATTATTAATATTGTTAATCACATATCATATCAATCATTCATTAATATAATATAATAAATTAATAAGATTTAATGAATCTTATAAGTTGAAGATGATTGAAGATGTTAAATCTTCAATGTGTAGAGTTTTCTGTGGCACCCTGTATGTAGCATAAAAATAAATGCGACTATGCTATTTGCGGAGCATTAAATTACTAATAAAACATTTATTAAAAATATAAAGTTAGCTTTGACTTTGCAGAAGCTTCAATATCTTTCACACATATGGCTGTTCGATTTGTAATCAATAATATTTATTTATAGATTATTAAATTTCTTTACAGCTATTAATAAAAAACTTTATTGACACTTAAATTAAGTTCAACTCATATACGTACATAAATAAGCTCATTCTCTCATCTACTCTCATTCTCTCTGACTGCAGCTGCTTCAATTCATACAAAGTTCCTCCAAAAAATCAGTTCAAACAGCAAAAATCACAGGTAATTAGGTGTACAGACATAGAGAGGATTATTAATGAATTCGTTTCATCATACTGATCAAGATGAGAAAACGTAGACGAAGCTACAAATAGCTAGATTTATATGATTTTATGGTATTAAATACAATATAAGAATCCCTTATTCCACCTAATTTTCACACTATATATTATGTATAAATACTATATCACCTTCCCAAAAGTTTATAAGGGGTTAAAAATATCAGGTTCAATATCCTTCTTGACTCCATAAGCTTGGGTGAATTCGTGAAGAATTTTTGTGCCTATATCTCTCAAATTTTCAGTGCATCTCTTACTACCATCCAATCAAAAACCACATCTTAGATTCGTACGTGATTAGTGGTCCTATAACAGTGTCATAATCGCTTAATTTTCACATTTGTGACAAAGATGATCTAAATATTATCTTTTTCACATTATCTTTTTCATTTTTTCTTATCATTTTATCAGTTTCGTTATTAAAATTTTATCTTAACATTCTTACTGTTGAACCACTTTTAATATCTATATATACATTATAATCAAATTTGTGGAGTTAATATTTCAGCACGTACAGTTTACAGATCTGTCGTAATTTCGCTAATTGATTGTTAACCTATTCCATAGTACAATTTAAAGCACCACTTCACTATAGTTCTATCAGAGATGGTTGATTGGTTCGTCAGTTGCAATAATTGATTAGCTAATATCTTCCCGCTTCTTATAATTCTCATAACTGATAAACTAAATCCATCTAACATAAATTGTTGTTTTTTTATGTGTGGATTTTTTTGATAATTCCAGTTAAACGTGTTTTTCATTCTAAAATTTTTAAATAATCCCATAGGAATTTTAAGCATCACTAGGACATAACATGTGTTCCCGAGACATAGATTCCAAAGCTTCTAAACCCTCAAATATACAGTGGTTACATTAAATTTTTACTTCTTTCTATAGGGCCACATTTCGACTAAGTGGTTGCAATTCTCATAAGCCGTAACCATTTTTGTAAAAATTCTAAGACTAATCGATTTAATTATGTGTGTGTCCCCATGTTTATTATTGTTTATTGTTCAGTAGATCAAGTCAACAAGTTCAGATTAAATGAAATCAGTCATATCATTAAGCATTCATATAAAATAATTGCCGGTAAAAAGCTAAACCAATATATACATCCATATTTATAGCAATGTCACATTTCTCGTTAATAATGTGTAATATAACTGTCTACCTATGTATACGGTAATGGATTCGTGAAAGCCAAAACTATTTACGGATTTATATTGTATATGTTTGAGTTTAAAATATCATTGTTTATTATATTAGTTCCTTGCCAATTTATATATAAATTTAGAATAATACAAATACTATTATTAATAATAAAAATATAAGCATTGCTTTCTTAGTATTACTTAATAAACAATAGTACATTAGTGCATCAAAACATTTTTAAGACCCAAAGTTCGATATATTTTAACATATTTTGGCAAACAAAATTTATATTTTTAGAGATAGTATGAAGAGATATATAGAACGCCCTACAATCATCTATCAAATAGTTTTAATTACCTATACAAATTAGCAATTCAATTATAATTTTACGGTAATAATATTAAATATCAACATTAATTTAAAATTCTCATTAAGTTTGATTTCAAGTATAAATGTTGGCATTGACCAACTAGCATATAATTTAATATGTTCGGATTGATTAGAACATTATGGTATTTTATGAGAAGAATGTTTATGTCTTTTATTATGTGAAGAATTTAAAAACTTTAGTAAAATTATAATTATAACTATATATAACTATGTCATTATTCCTATCTTTGTTAGGGATATCAAAGCTTTCGCAAAGCCAAAACATGTTATTTCTGTCATTTATGCTATTTATGTAAAGAATATGGGAACTTCATTAAATATAAACTTTTCTTCTTGTTTCACTCTAACATACACTAATTTCCTTCGAGAATACCAAAACTAGTTTTTTTTTCTGTCATCGCTCTAATCACTGTAGAGTATTAAAACTCCAGCAAAGCTAAAGCTAATATTGTTTTTATCATAAATCCTAACTGTATAAAGGTACTAAGGTTTCGGTAATGTCAAAACTATCGCTTAACTGATTTTTGGTCCATCTATCTATTGTTTTCCTATCTATCAAAACTAGTTTTTTCTTTCTCTATCATCACTCTAATCCGTCTAGAGTAACAAAATTTTAGCAAAGCTAAAGCTAATACTGTTTTTATCAGAAATCCTAACTCAATAAAGGTATTAAAGCTTCGGTAATGTCAAAATCATAGTTTAACTGATTTTTGATCCATCTATCTATTGTTTTCCTATCTATCAAAACTAGTTTTTTCTTTCTCTATCATCACTCTAATCCGTCTAGAGTAACAAAATTTAAGCAAAGCTAAAGCTAATACTGTTTTTATCAGAAATCCTAACTCAATAAAGGTATTAAAGCTTCGGTAATGTCAAAACTATCGCTTAACTGATTTTTTATCCATCTATCTATTGTTTTCCTATCTATCAAAACTAGTTTTTTCTTTCTCTATCATCACTCTAATCCGTCTAGAGTAACAAAATTTTAGCAAAGCTAAAGCTAATACTGTTTTTATCAGAAATATTAACTCAATAAAGGTATTAAAGCTTCGGTAATGTCAAAACTATCGCTTAACTGATTTTTTATCCATCTATCTATTGTTTTCCTATCTATCAAAACTAGTTTTTTTTTTCTCTATCATCACTCTAATCCCTCAAGACTAACAAAACTCTAGCAAAAACTAAAGCTAATACTGTTTTTATCAGAAATCCTAACTAAATAAAGGTATTAAAGCTTCGGTAATGTCAAAATCATCGTTTAACTGATTTTTGATCCATCTATCTATTGTTTTCCTATCTATCAAAACTAATTTTTTCTTTCTCTATCATCACTCTAATCCGTCTAGAGTAACAAAATTTTAGCAAAGCTAAAGCTAATACTGTTTTTATCAGAAATCCTAACTAAATAAAGGTATTAGAGCTTCGGTAATGTCCAAACTATCGCTTAACTGATTTTTTATACATCTATATATTATTATTTTATTTATCAACACTATTTTTTCTTCTTGTTTATTATTTTTATCATTAAATCTCATCATTTTTTCTTATTCTTTATTATTTTAATCATTAAACCTCATTATGTGAAAGATATTGAAAATCGGGCAAAGCTAATGCAAAGTTTTTTATTCGGAAATATGGTAGTGTTTGCTGTGTAAAGAGTGCGAAAGCCACTATGATTCTTGTTCCTTTCTATCACTAAAGCCTACTGTGTGAAGGGTATTAACCTCATTATGTGAAAGATATTGAAAATCGAGCAAAGCTAATGCAAAGTTTTTTATTGGGAAATAGTGTTTGCTGTGTAAAGAGTGCGAAAGCCACTATGATTCTTGTCCCTTTCTATCACTAAAACTATATGTATGAAGGGTATTAAAATTCGGGTAACATTTAAGGTAAAGGTAAACTTTTTTCTATCATTAATTCTGTGTGGAGGGTGTGTAGGGCATGGTTGAAGTGTTTTATATATAATTTTTTTTGTCAAAACAATAATGGATTTATTGAATAAACTGTTGCATGGCACACAGCAACTTTAACCAATTCTAATTAAAATTATAAAATAAATAAATTGCAATACCTCAAGCCTTCTTCACTCTCTTATCAAAAGTTCTTACGACTCTTATTCAATATTTGCTGGCAACAAAAATTCAAAAAATAAATAAAAAAGTTTGCGTGAAATGAAAAATGCTTAAAACGAGTAGTTTATTCGTAACGTAAAAGAGACATGGCACAATTTATTTATTGGCACTGTAGGTTATGGAAAATCACTTGACATCTTCAGAAACGCGTAATACTCGTAAAAGAAAATATTGTATTTATAATATGAATATTAATTTGAATCAACAAAGCGTGAGTATATATACAACATATTGTATTGAGACTGAATTCGAATTCTATAAAGGGAACGATTCTATATAAATGAACCAGTTCAAAGCATTGCGTTCGTTACACGTAAACGGGTTACATCGACCTTATTGTAGTAAAAAAGTAAAAGTGTTTATATGAGAGATTGTGTAGAAGAAGCAAATCCTAGGACAATGTCTTTTGTATAACCTTTACACTCGTATGACTGATGTCTTTAACCTATTTCAGGCTGAAATGTTTATGGCGTTTACTATGTTTCTTTTCGATTTCAGAACTCATAAAACGTAATCGCTGAAAGCATTTGCAGTCAGTCACATTCTCTATTCTCACGGCGCATGCGGTAGGTTAAACCGTAGAGTACGCAGCTCTTCCAGATACAAAATCATTTTTAAAAATAGCAATATTTCCTCAAAATGTTGTTAATCAGCGCATATTTTTGTTTTTTGCCGCAGGAGAAATCAACACACACTTTTCACGGACAACAATTGGAACAGACAATATTTCTCCGAAATATGAAATCAGTTCATATCAGTCTTTTATAACGCCAAGGCATTCAGTTGTAATTTCTGAAGATAACAATAAGAGTCGTTTTTTTATTTCCAATTTATTTTTGATTGAACATCGCAAATTTATTATTTTCGTCCTATACCTGCAATAGATTGATTTGTCGGTCTTTTCTCGATGCTGATTTAAATTAATTATGCGCTCTATATAATTTTTAATATTATTATTATTATTATTTCTTAATTCAAACAACTATAATAAAACACCAAGAAATATTTAATAATCTTATACAAATCATTAAAACAATAAAGGAACCTAATGTTAATAGAAACCACCATGGAGTTTAATTGATAATGTTTAATTTTGTCTATAAATCATTTAATATCTATTTAAAAAAATGCATAAACGAATTCAGATGTTAAAAATATTAATGCTGTGAATTAAACTCGAAAGAAAATAATTAAAATTAATTTAAAATTAAATCTTCAAGCGCTAATTTGTTAAAGTAACAATAAAAAAAATTAGTAACACTTTACATGCACAATTTGGATCAAATCATCTTATGATGGGAACCATAGGTAAGTTGCGAAATCAATTAAGTGTAAATACTAAACTGAGCAAGAATCAATCTGAACTAATTCTAGACTAATCCACATATAATTCTTAGAACCTCTTAACTATATGACAGCTCTATTACATCTCTATGACATAAATAATACAATGATGGATTTTATAATAGAGAACTGTACCTAATAAATATTTTAAACCTACCTACATATTTAACAACATATATTTTAAATAATAATATTATTATTTTATATCAGAATAAAGTCGCTAATGAAATCTGCTATAAACATTAAAATATTTTCCAAAAACATAGCCAGTACAGTCTTATGTAGGGATGTTGAACATATATGCTTAGTAGTAGAGAACTTAACTGATAAAAAATTAAATAATAATTAAATAAAAATTAAATAAAAATAAATAAAAAATAAATAAAATACAAAATTAAGTAATATAAAGTAATAATATAAAATAAATAAATATGTTATATTTTTTTACAAAATAATAACACGAATATATACATATATACGTATATATACATGACGTAGTGTTGAAGAATGGGTTTATAAACAGTTGTATATGTATCATATTATACTGAAAAAAAAAAATATATAAAATAAGTTATAAATTAATATACAAAATAATTAAAATCTAAACTAATATATAAAATAAAATATAAAATAAAATATAAAATAATATATAAAATAACCTTTTCTGTTACAAAATATAAACATTAAGTGTAATGAGGTATTGTGGAATAGATTAATATGTACACTTTCTGTATATATAGTATAGTTATATACTTAACTGTAAAAAAAAATAAATAAATAAAACTTACATACATACAAAAAAGTTTAAAAAAAGTTAAATGATTGTTTTACAGAATAATACAATAATTCATATTTATAATAATAAATATGATAAAGTTTTGTAGAATAGTTTTATAAATATGAAATAATTTATTTTTTTTAACAAAATAAAAATATATCCTCTTATAAAATAAATTTGAATATATATACTGCAAGTATTATATATATGAATTTAGTTGACAAACAAAATAAAATCAAATAAAATATGAAATAAAATACAAAGAAAAAAACACAATACAAATACAAAACAATAACAATAAATTAAAAAAAAATAATTAATTTTTTTTTTTTAATATGATAATTAATACAATGAGATATTATACATACATGTATTTAAAATTAAATATAATATAGAATAAAACACAAAAGAAAAAATAAATAATATACAAAAATATAAATAAGATATTAAAAAAAATTATATACAATAAATTATTATTTTTTAATATATAAAATATTTTAAGAGTAAAATCGTAAAATCTACAATAAACATTACACGTTTTTTCATGCTTACAACTTGATTTTATTTTGAGGCTTTTCGGAATGCATCACTCTATATATATAAATATACAATAAAAACCTTCATAAGGGTATCCTCATGATCAGTTTTACTCCTGCTCGTTCAAATAGGGTATCCAGTTAAAAAGACCTCAATTGTTCTAAAGAATCAAAAATCAAATCTTGATAAAAATATATTACTTAAGTAATAAATTGAAAATATTGCACCACATATGAATCGACTATGTATGTAATATATCACTTATAATTTTTGATATCATAATAACAATGAAGAAAATTTCTTTTAGTCCATCCTAATGAATATTTTAAACTCAAGTTAGCTCATATAATACCGTAAAAAGATTAAGACTCAAGAAACCGAATAAAAAAGGAAAAATTTACAAAAACAGTCAAAAGTGCTAGCTTACAGCATTAAAATGTGACAGAGTAGAGTAAACAAATGATTAAATATATATATTTTTACCTATAACAATAATTTTTTTTAAGAAAAACGTTCAGTAAGGGTTTCAGTAAGAAAGTTTTCCCTGTAATATACGTATACCTAATACTCCAATAAACTTTTTTTTTTACTAAATAAAAGCACAAATTATTGAAATGTTGTAAAATTAGTCCCTATATTTATATTTATATATATATATATATAATTTGTAACTATTTATTTTTATTATTTACATAAATTATGCCTAACTTTAAAGTTCATTTTCTTTTAATATATATGTAAATGTTTATATATATATATATTATTTAATGTACTTCTTCAACTTTTTTTAGAGTACTTTTACAACTCATTTATACTTATATTTAATATACTTATATATCTATGTTGTAGACTTGATTTATATATATATATATATATTTAGTGTTTGTATACCAAAAAGAACAATAAAATATATTATTTCTTTACAAACAAATCAGAATAAACATATATAAGTAATGAATATGTAAATGTTTATATATATATATATATAGTATTTAATGTACTTAAATAAATATTACTACTTAAATAACAGTAGTAAAAATATATTTAGTATTATTTTATAATAAAAAAAAGTATTTATTTGTAAAACTCGCAAGTCTATTGTTTTATATAAGCCCTTTATATGAAGCCCTTTATAACAGCTGAATAATCTTCTAACATATAATTTTTTTAATACTATATCTATTATTTTTTTCATCTTATTATTTTATAGTATTCATTATTTTAATTTATACATATTATTTTATATTTTTATTATATTATGCAGACAGACTATATTGACGTATTTAAGAATACGTTTTTTTACTCTTCAGCCATACGTAAAACATTTACATACAGATTAAAAGAAAATGAACTTTTTAGTTAGACATAATTTATATAAATAATAGAAATAAATAGTAACAAATTATATATATTTAGCTTATTTATATATTAAATTTTGTCTGTCATTGAAACATTTATATATTTGAAATGCAATTAAATTGTTAAAGAGCGAAAATGCGTGGGGTCGACGGTTTTCTCTATTTTGAAACGATAAATTAAAAAACATACATATGTGCATATATCTAGATCGTAGTTGTACAGTATTTATTTTGCAAAAAAAAAATTGTTATTATTTAAATGAATATATTGTAGGGTCGAAGATGCTTCTTTAAGACGAGCTCATCTTAAAGTTCCCTTCTGTTTATTTATTTTATGATTGACAGCAAAGTGACCATATTTATATATGTTAATATTTATATATAATATATATATTATTTATAGTAATTATTAGTGATAAGTATATATTTATGTATTTCATTGAACTTATCAACTTCGCTCCGATTACAATAAAACAAAATGATTGCCTTTAACTTAGGAACGTGTTCTCAAGAAGTCTGTTTGCTACACGAATAGCACATTGTTTACATATTATATATTATTCTACACATATTGAATTATATATATATATATGTTGTGCGCTTAAAAATATATAATACATACATGCATAGCAATTTTTTTGAACATATAAGTAATATTGTAAACATTTTCGAATTTTTGTTAAAAGTAACAGTCCAACAATAAATAATAATCTCTTTAGTTAGACCGAATGGCCCATTTTTAATATATATTTTCTATATAAATATATATTATATTATGTAGATTTTGTAGAATTTATGACTTTTTTCACCAGATTAATACTACTGTACGTATAAATATATACTCAAAGTAGTTAAAATTTTCGCTAATATTAGAAAAGGTAATAATTCAAAAATTATAAATCTGCTTTAATCTAGAATATAATAAAAAATCCGCAATAAAAATTTTAATAAGTTGTTAATTTAAAATTTAATGAAATCAAGAAACAAAAACAGTTGTAATAAAATCTCCAGATTAAAAACAAATTTAAAAATAAATTACATAAAATGTTACAAATATACAAAAAAAAACAAAAAAAAAAAATTTACAAAATTTATTTATCATTAAATAAATTGTTTACTTGATTGAAATTGTATATTATTTGTCGATGAATTCAATCAGATTTGTATAATGGACAGCCACCTCGATTTTCTCTAAAGCACCTGCAGCATTAGTCGTTGATTACTTATACAACCAGACAGCACGACTGTGTGAGGGCAATTTTGGGTGGGAACATGGACGCCCGCGCGGCTAGTGAGCCTCTAATTGACGTCAGCAATGCCCCCAAAGTGCAAACGACTAAAACATGAAAACGATGTATGGATATATGGATATATGGATATATGGATGTATGGATGTTTGTGGATTGGTGCCCGTTGTCGCAAAGCATTGCTGCCACATCAAATAAAAAACCACAAAGTAAAGTGAAATAAAAAATAATAAAAAAATATTAAATAAAAAATATAAGCAGAAAAAAACAAATAAATAATAAACAAAAAAAGAATGGAATATTAAAATAAAGCTGTTCTATTTTTGGAGAGACTGATGCGCATTTAATGTGTAATATAAAAATATATTACACACATGTATATGTAGAATACGTATTCTTTTAATAGCTGGGTTTGTTCTGAAGAACGAAATAATTAAAAATAAGCAAGCCAATATTTTTAGTCGGTAAGGAATTATCTTATTATGCGCTATGCACTCTATTGTATTTTCCATAATAGATTAAGTGTTGATTAAGAGATAATTAACAAACAAACACAATCGACAAACATTTTAATATAATATTTTTTTAAACAATTTTAATAATAATATAATACAATCTCAAGAATACAAAATACTATACTGAAAAAAGAAAATAAGAAAATTAACCATGAAAATCTTTAGAACTTCCTTTAAAGAAAGTATAAATCCTTTTCTAAAAAACGTTTTTGAATAACCTTTTAGCTGACCGCTGCCGGTCTGTGACATTAGCCCTACTTAGCACTATCTAATCTTAGAGTAATCACTAACCACACGGGGAGGTACGCAGATCTTAGATCAGTCATTGAATAATCACGAAGTTTATGAGGAATACATAACTTAGTCAGTCAGATGGGTGAGACTCTGCAGAAATGCCCAAGCTATCAAAGAGTAAAAGTGCCCATATGCACTAACTCGGAAAAGGCTCAACATAAGACATTAGCACCAACGTTCTCTAATACAATCAAACTTCCATAACTCGATAGAGTAACTAAATAGAGTGCAAGAGGGTTTAGAGAGTAAATTACGTACAATTACAAAAAATAATCTTTAACTCGAAGTCGAACATTTTCTTTGTAAAATGGTACTTTGAAGTTTGACTGTATGCATTATTTTCATCTTATACGAAATATTAATATTTATTCTTACAAAACCGAATTAAAATTTTTCCGGTTGAGAAGGCACTGTTTAATGCAAACTTAGGTTTACTTAGATTTTAATAGCAAACCTTGAGATTCGGACCTTCAATAACATACCTAGTACCTATATACCTATAACATGAGTTTGTATAAGGCAAACTTAGGTTTGATAAAGTTTTAATAGCAAGCCTAAGATTCAGACCTATAATAACATAGGAAGATCTATATGTCTAGTCCATTATTGTGTTAAATACAAAAGTCTTCTGCAGAAGTAATTGAAATTGAAATTTAATTTTGTGACAAGTCATTATTGTTTCGTTGTATATTATACTAAGAATTACAATCTCATAATTTATTTTATTAATTTTATTTTTAGAGAAACGTTCTTTTTCTTTTCGCCTGCGACGCACTACAGGAGATGGTGGAAGTACGCACAGCCGAAATAGTAACAACAATAGCAGTACTTGTACCAATATTAACAATAATAGATGTAATTCCCCATTAACACCAACGAACACCAGTATGAAATTGGAAGTGCCAAATACCGCATCAGTTAGTCGCCGAAGTAGCATTTACAAGAAACCTGATAAAGATGACAGTGGAATGATACATATTATACCGGATATAGACCTTCCATTAATGACATTTACTGATCAGTATAATATTGAAAAAACTCTTGCGGAGGGTTGTTTTGCTAAAATCCTATTAGCATTACATAGACCCACAAATACGACTGTAGCTCTTAAAGCTGTACATGCAGAGTTGACAACACTTAAAGAATTTCAAAAAGAATTTCATTACAACTATGAATTATCTCATCATCGAAATATACTTAGTGCCTACAATGTAGCATTTCAAACTAAAGATTATTATGTTTTTGCCATGGAACACGCGCCATATGGTGATATGGCTGCAAATCTTGGACCGAATGGTCTACACGAAAGTGTATGTAAATTGATATCTGAACAATTAAGTTCAGCACTTGGATTTATGCATTCGAAAAACTTAGTTCATCGAGATTTAAAACTAGAAAATATACTTGTATTTACACCAGATTTTTCACGTGTTAAACTGTGTGACTTCGGTGCAACTACCAAAAGAAGCCTTTTAGTGCATAAGGTAAAACATACATGGACCAGTTTTGTGCCTCCAGAGGTTTTGGAAATTGTAAAAAATGAAAGATTCTTATGTCTTCCCAGTAGTGACTCATGGCAGTTTGGCATACTTTTATATAATATTTTAACTGGAAGTCCACCATGGAATTCAGCGGATTGGGTTAAGGATGCTCAATATGCTAATTTTATGAAATATGAACAGCGTAAAACCACAAAAATTCCGGACAACTTTCGTCGGTTTTCACCACGGTTGATGCGTTGCTTTAGAAAATACTTAAGTCATGATCCAGAGGACCGCTGCAAAATAACTGAGGTCACAAAATATATGAAAGACAGATGGGTCGAATGTCGCATATCAGCTTCAAAATCCGCAACACTAATTTCACCTAATCCAGATCAAGACTCATGCATATATTTAAATCAAAGAGAAGGTAGAATGTCCGCTGACGAAAATAGATCGCGAATGAAACGCATGATGTCCAGTTATGGACTTGATAACGCCATCGATCAAACAGCGGTTCGACGGCGTGTTCTCGATTGGCTTTCAACTTGTGACAATAACTTTGACCCTGAAATCGAGAGTTTAACTTTAGTAAATGTTAAGGATTAGAATTAAAATAAATTTTTAAAGATTCATTTGAAGAATATTCATTTTTATTGTACAAACATAATTATTAAGTGTATGCCTAGTCAGCCATGATATTACACATGTTCTAAAATGCAATTTGAAGCATATTGACATGTACATCATTTTCTATAATAATTTATGCAATAAGTAGATAGATGATAGACTCGTATAATATACCAAACGTATTTTTAGAAATAATATATTGTGATGGCGTAATATTAAATACCCTTGTATATACATATAGTAGGATATATTTCAATTTTATAAATTTATATTTAAGATACTATAACGATTTTGTGTAAATAATTAAAAATTAAAAATTAAAAATAACGTATGAATGAGGGAGGATGCAAGAATTGTCATTGGGTGTACATATGTATAATAGCACGTTTAGTTATAACAATATTACTCGAATCAATATGAATTCATGTATAAATATATAGACTTAGTAATATAAACATTTTTCTTTTATAAATACCAACAACGTGATTTAGTGAAACGGCGATAATTTCGCACATCAGTTCAGGTGAAAATAAGTAAAGAATAAACATAGATTGTATAATAAATAGCAGTGTGAAAAACTGATTTTTCAAATATTTTATCGAAAATGTAATTTAAATATATCCTCGTACAATAAAATAAATAAAATAATAGTGTTTAGCTTTTTCACCAAATGTTTGCTTATTGAATAATTGAATAAACAAATATATGAATCAGAGCATTAGAAAATCACACATAAATGTTTACCTAAATGATTGTTTAAACAAATGCCATTGTAAAAAAAAAGAAATAAAAAAAAACAATGAAATAAAACTCAGATGGATACTGATATAGACACCTTAATCTATATAATAGATAATAAAAATAATAATAATAATAATTATCAGTAATTTATTTAAAGCTATTATCAATAATACATCAAAGTGTATAGTATAATAAAGTATACATGTATTAAACATTCATTATCACAATAAAAAAAACTATATAATTTTTTAATAATAGAATAAAAAAATACATTAACTATAATCCAAAGAATTATATACTATAATTTGTTTTTTTTTTTTCAGTCATATTAAAGTATACATTTACTATTTTTATATTTTTGGACTATCTCGAGAGATATTGTATGGGTTATAATAATTTTTCCACTGCAATCATGTGTTAATGTTTATAGCTCAATAAATTATAAAATTTTATATGTGTATGCTCAATTAGAAAAAATATTACAAATTAAAATTTAATAAAATATTCAAATTTTGGAACCAAGTGTTTTTATAATACAAAAATCTAAATGAAATTAGTATTTATTAAATTAAATATAAAAAAGAAACAACAACAACAATAGTAGTTTGTTCATATTTGTTATTTACTATTCGAATAGGTACAATTCCCTCTTCCGATACATTTTTTATAAATATACATATAAACATTATTATCATTATAAGTAGGTAATCAAAACTATTACCTATATACAATGCTCTGAGAAATCACACAAACAAATTTTGTTCTAACTTGGATCCAAAATTGGAAATGATAATGATCTGGATAAATATGAATTACAACAACAATATTTTATTTTTAATTAATTGATTTTTTACTTGTTCCTCACATAACTGTTTCGTGTATCACCAAATATCCATCATCGGTCATCTTTAAAAATATTTGTTGGTTTTATTATTTTTATTAGAAAATAAAAATATTTCCAAAGACCACTGATAATCATTTTTTTGCAATACTCGAAACAGCTGTTTTTTCGGTTTTTTTTTCTAAATTAATTATATGCAGACCTAATAGGTCTGTTCCACGAGCTACTCATAGTAACTTTGAGTAAACACTGTGTATACACAACCGCGTTCCACCAGCAAATTTTCAAGTATTTTTGTGTAAATTTTACTTCTGTTTTACTCATGTTTTACTATGAGTAGCTCGTGGAACAGACCTATTATTCGCGCTGTTCGAAATTTCGAGCATTGTAAACATTTGAAGTTTTTGATCCAAATGTTCGAATTCGAATTGCTGCTCGACAACGTCATGCGCGAATACTTTAAAACACTCATTCATACTGAAGTGTGTTCAAAAGAAAAAAAGCATTTAACTCACCTTTTTTTACAAAAATAAATCTCATTTGCTATTAATATTTATATTTCTGATTTCCGTATCTATTTTTGTTTATTTCTGTAAGAACGAAACACGTCATTATTCATATTAATCAATATAAATAAATATTTTGAACTTACCTTTCAATTGATGCACTCCATTATCTACATTTTGTTATGTTGTTTTTATTGTTGTAACCCGCAGGGATCTAACGCAGATAGTATGGTATGAAAGGAGTACAAGACGAATACATGCGTTAGGATGTGGTTGAGTATTTGATTTGATTATTTGAGTGTGTGAATGAATTGAGGAATGGTTGAGACGTAGATTAAAGTCAAAAAGAACAAGATATAGAGAAAAATCACTTTTATAAGACTAGTCGATTGGACTCAGCTTTGTGTATGCTTCCTGATGTTGTAGTAGTTGTTGTTGCCATTACTGTTGTGGTAGCTGAAACTTAAATTGATTGTTCTGGAAAATAATTATATATTTAAAATGATAAAACTTGCACTATAAAATATGTTGGAGAAAGTAGAGAGGTTCAAGAGAAGAATGAGTAAAGGGTGAGTAAAAGAAGGTTAAGCCTGGTCTGGGACCAGATGAGAAACTCCCCATGTGTTTAAATTGATTTATTGTTATTTAAAGGCCTTTTGTGAAGTTCTAAGCGTTTTTTTAAGTTTTTAATGTTTAATTAATTGTGCATGTAATAAAATTCAGTACTGAGACCTCAATTATTAATATAAGTATTTATAATAATTTATTGTTTTAATGACCAAATATTATAAAAATTTATTTTTGAATTTATTTACCGACCTGTTTTTTTATATTGGTTGTCATATATTTTTTAGTCTATAGAATATAATAAAAAATATTAAACCTTGAATTATTTAACAAAAAAGGGACCCAACCCATAGTCAGATATTTAATAATAATTTTCTTTTGATCAATAGTTAAATAATAAAGTTTTTAAAAAAATTTTATTTTTTATATTTGATTTTAATGACCAAATATTATAAAATTTTTTTTTGAATTTATTTACCGACCTGTTTTTTTATATTGGTTGTCATATATTTTTTAGTCTATAGAATATAATAAAAAATATTAAACCTTGAATTATTTAACAAAAAAGGGACCCAACCCATAGTCAGATATTTAATAATAATTTTCTTTTGATCAATAGTTAAATAATAAAGTTTTTAAAAAATTTTTATTTTTTATATTTGATTTTAATGACCAAATATTATAAAATTTTTTTTTGAATTTATTTACCGACCTGTTTTTTTATATTGGTTGTCAAGTATTTTTTAGTCTATAGAATATAATAAAAAATATTAAACCTTGAATTATTTAACAATTCAAGGTCCCTTACCGATAGTCGGATTAAAAAATATATAAAAACCATTATGACCAAATATTTTTAATAATAATATAGTTTTGATCAATAGTTAAATAATAAAGTTTTTAAAAAACTTTTTGTTTTTAAAAGATTTTATTCTAACCAATATTTCAACTATAATCTATAGAGTACTATATATGGTACTATATTATAATATTAATACAATGTAACAATACTTTAGTATATATTACAAAGAAATATATATAGAATACATTAACATTAATTTGGTACTTTGATGTATTCTTACATTAACATTAAATGTTAATGTATTCTATAAATGTTTCTTTATAATATATAGCAACATTTTGTTATATTGTATTAATATATTATAGTACCCTGATGATGACATATCGGTTAGAATAAAATCTTTTAAAAACAAAAAAATTTTTTTGAAAAGTTTATTATTTAACTATTGACCATTAGTTCGTTAAAAAAAATTATAAATATTTATTTTATTGAGGTACAGATCTTTCCCACTTCTTTCCTACTAAATAAATAAAACATGCCAAAAAAGTTTTTTTTTACATTTGTTTGTATTGAAATTTCCTGTCTTTAGGCGGAAATAAAATACAAATGAAATTAAATTTGGTACTTTGATTTTTTTTTTGCTTTTTTGATTTATAAAAGAGCATTAAAAAAACTTTATAACGATTTTTTTAAATAAAAAAAAAATTGAAATTATTTAGTAGTAGATTTGGTATAAAATAGAAATTATTTTTTCTTAATTTTCTTAATTAAATTATTATAAAAATAATTATTTATTTAGAAGCCTTTAAAGAGCAAACAAATTAATTTAAGTATTTTACATTTTAAAATAGTTTAACAATCATTATAGCAATATATATAATTACATATAAATTTTAATTAATTGTTAAACATATTTTTAATTCGTAAATTACTTCCCACCATAAGTAGACATAATTAATGAAATAAAGTACACAATAAAAACGTTTTTATTTCAAATAAAAAATATTATTATTTTTATAAAATAGTAGATTCTCTTAATTATAATCTCTCTTACAATTTTGTTTCTATATACGTTTTTTATTTAATTTCCTAAGATCGATTTTATAATATAATAGTTTTTGGGAGAAAATGTTATCGTAAAGCATTAATTTAAAATTAATTATATTAATCTTATTTTGTAGGTTCTTTTTATATTAGAATATATAATGTACAGTATGCATTTCTTACATCAAAAAGAAAAAATCATACACAAATAAGTGTAAATATAAAAAAAATGTACATTAGAATAACTTCAGAATTTATATATTTATGTTTAAACAGACCAAGTTTTTTCTTATATTTGAGCATTGGAATTGTTAATAATTATTTTATTTAACTGAATTTTTTAAACTTAATAGTCTAAAATTTGTCTTTACAATTTTTTATATATATACATATATGTATATATATATATTTTTTTTTTCTTTGAAGAGACAAATAATAATTGCAATATTTGGTCCTTACTTTAGCAGATTGAAGTAGGTACTCATGCAATATAACACAAAAACATGTATTACACATCTTAAAATAATTGTTTTTTATTTGAAAATTAAGAAAATTTTTAAATTTTAAAAATACATTAATAAATACATTTTTTCAAGTTACAAATATTTTTACAAAAACAAACACCATATAATAATAATAGAGATAAATGCATTAATTTGCATGAGTACTAAGTTAAAAATGCATTGCCGTATAAAAAAATAATTCCTAAAAAATAATCATTAAAATATGAGTAATGTGCAAATTATAGATTAAGAGAATTTGATTTATTTGTTCGGTTTTCGACATTATTTAGTAGACATTAATTTAAAAAAATTATTTCTTTCATTAAAATAATTAAGAAACACTTAAAATCAATACAACAGTTTTTCTTTTCTTTTAAAATATATACTACTTAAGGAATTAACACTTAAACATACTTGAGATAAGTAAAAAAATTTTAAATAAAGCTTTATAAAATGTTTATAAGATGTTTATATACATAACATAAACATGTCTTGTCTTGATTATTTATATTATTGAAAAAAATAATATTAAATAAACTAAAATTGTATTAAACTGTTGAAAAAAATCAAATATACATAAATATATATTTGTATGTATAAAATATAGAAATCACACTTTATTTATTTATTTATTTATTTTTTATTTAAATTTTAATACATATGTTGACTGCTTGATACTATTACTGCATTTTCACTGGAAATTTATATTTATAAAAATAAATTTTAGAACTTTTTGGTCTGAGTTTAATACAAATATTGTGTTTTATAATAAAATATGAATCTAGTTTAGTATCATTAAACCATAAGTAAATATTTTCGTTAAAAACTAATGGTAGTGTCAAATTTAAAAAAGCTAGAATTCCTTCTGCACGACTCAATCGATTATCTAATCAATAGTTAGCGGATACTAACTCAAAAGAAGCAAGCCTATTTAAATATACTATAGTGAGCAACTTATCACCGAATCTGTGTTCTAGTACTCAGTGTTCTCATACACCATCTATTTCATATTTCATACGTTAATTATCGAAAAATAATTGATTTTACTTAAAAACTAAACAACTTCAGAAATTATGGAAATACTTTTTACGACTTACTTTAGCGCGATTTATACACGCTTTTTTATTTAAGGTTTAAAAATACTTTTTTTTATTATTATTATTATTATTGTTATTATTATTATTATTATTATTATTCTTAATTAGCTTTTTTTACAGTTTGTCTTTAATTATATTTTGTAAATATTTTTCTTTTTTCTTTTTTTCCGATCATTTTTTTTTTTGTTGAAACTTTCTCTAATAATTTTAATTTTAATATGTAACTTTTTAATCATACTTATTATTTATTATAATTCAGTTAGTAAAAATATTAATTTGAGTCAAAATATTTATCATAAAAATATCATTTACATTTATTTTTTGAGTACATGATTTGATTTGTATGAATTTCATATTGTTCTTGTGGTTGAGTTTTTCATCGAGTTTTGCTGGATTTCCAATTCACGTTTCGTCTGTCAAACTTTACTATTTGGGTTGCGTGAAGATACCTCATATGCTCCTCTGCCTAATGCAGTGTACGCGTCAGTGTAATACTCCGAGGGATTGTGCAATGATGGCGGTCTATTATAATTTACTAGTTGCGGAGCGACGACTATGATAGATAATAGTGATATTAATGATATTGTTTAATATTAAATACTCATTTAAGCAATATTGCTCTACATATACATATATGTATGTACAAAGAAATAATGATTGTTAGTTAGATGTTAATGTATATAATGTATATAGTTAATGTATATAGAAATATCAATTCGTTTATAAATATATTTTCATTTTAATATTAAATAATTTTAAATAAAAACAAAAGTAGTGTTTATGTTTAAGCACAATTACTGTACCTGAAACTGCATTATAAATTTGTTAGATATACAAATACTAGTATGTAATAAATAAATAGTTAAACATTTCTGCAGAATTCAGCAATATATTCTTTCTAAAAAGTATCCGAAATGCAATAAAAAAACAACCAAATCAACAAATAATCAAATTTTATACAGATTTAATAATTAACTAAATTTTTGTTATTGTCTTTTCTTTACTAGTCGAACCCGTCTAATTTTTAAATATTCAAAAGACGCGTCACTTTCGGCAAAAAAAAAAATTAACATTAATCAAATTTTATTTTGTCTCCCTACCATTAAGATACGAGGGAGGTTTGATAAGCCAAAGGCAACAGTGCTGCCGTCAGCTGTAATCTACCAGTGGGTAACTTTCTAATTTTGAGCAAGCTACGTCGTTCAGTTGGTGTTTCACAGCAGACAACCTTGTGAATTTTTACGAAAATGGAAAAAAGTGAATTTCGTGTGCTGATTAGGGATTACTGGCCAAAATCCACGAATTGGGATACGAACTGCTAGCCCCACCCAGCATATTCTCCAAATTTAGCCTCCTGCGACTATTTTCTGTTTCCAAACCTAAAGAAATGGGTGGGCGGTAAGAGATTTGAGTCGAATGAAGAAGTCATTACCGAAACAAATGCTTATTTTGAGAGCTTTGAGAAAACCTATTATTTGGAGGGAATAAGAAAATTAGAAAAACGCTGGACTAAATGTATCGAGCTAAAAGGTGATTGTGTAGAAAAGTTACTGACTTATCAAACCGCCATCGTATTCAAGTAGCTGAAGTACACTAAAAATCGGTAATGTATATCCATTAATACCATAATGCTATATAATATTAGGTGTTATTAATAGATATCCGCGTAATATTGGTAAGTATTGTGACTAGATGGTTTTGGTACCCATATATCTAGCAACACTAACTCGATTCAAATGAACATGTGTTTGAAAGGTGACACCTCAAACTATATTTTTTTGTGAAAGCAGTTTTATAGTTCATCGGTCGTGTAAAAAGTTATATTGATTTCAAAATGATTATTAATTACTATTAAAAAAAAATGCAAAAGCATATGGGCGGTTTACGGTAAAGAGGATCTGTGTGAATGCTGGATGCAGCAGATACACATCTAGTCAATCAATCACTAAAAAATTCGCGAAATTTTGGAATTGATGGAGTAAGCCTGGCACGTAAGCACGTCAGAAAATATTGGAGACACTAAACATTAACCATATAATAGTTTTGAAGCAGGTTAGAAATTCGAACAACTGAATTATTCTCAGTGATATACTGCTAGAAGACAACAAAATCCAACCATTTTTGAAGCAAATGTTTGCGGGCGATGATAAATAAATTTAACAAGAGAATTTTTAACAAAAACGATATTGATCAAAGGCCAGTGACCCTTAATGAAAGTCTGTATTGATGACAAACGAGGTTATGTTAAGTGTTTAATGGAATTAGAAGGGAATTGTCTAGCATGACCTTCTCCAGTTTAGTGCAACGATTAATTCGATCCTCGACTGCTTACAAATCAATCGCTTGAATAAAACAAAAGAAAAAAGCAGACAGAATTAGCCTACAAAAGTAGTTATGTTCAATAATAACAACGCCAGGCAACATTCTTCTTTGATGAGTTAAAACAAATTGACAGAAATTTGTGTAGTTGAGGTTAAAAAACTCGCCGACTAAAGAACCGCTAAAACTCACTTAGACAAGTTTTTCGACAATAAACCACAGAAGTTCTACACTGATGGAATCAAGAGTAAGTCTGTAATAGACTTACTAATTGCATTTAAAAGAAAAAACATTACCATTGGTCAACAAATAAATTGTCTTCCATTAAGACACTGAACGATTAATGACTAATGTAACCGCTGTGGTCAAATTTATATAGAATAACAGTACGGATTAGTCTCTTTTATACCGTATTTGCCAAATTCAGGTTCCTACGATTATTTTATATAATCGATGGAACCTGATGAAAATGGTTAAGAAGAAAAATATTAATAAGCAGAATGCTGCTACTTGTCGACATAGAGGCTTAAGAGAATCCTTGGATCAAATATATTAAACTGAAAAAGAACTTCGTTAAGATATTAAAATTAATCAATAAAAATACGAATGGACTTTACAATATTTACTTATTGACTTGCTCTCGTAATATACATGCAGTCCTAACAGAAAACGGGAATGTATAATTTTAAACGAACAATTTTTTTCTGTCCATAGTACACTATTGTCTGAGGGGACTAATGTGTGCATATCATTCATTTATTAAATCGCGAATTAATTCTTCGACAATTTTTCAATATTGTACTAACTATTAATCTGATATCAATAGAAATCAATTATCATCAGAGTGCTGTCGCCAAGTGACAAATTCGTTACCCTATTTTGTTAATGATAAATGTTTAAAATTGTAAGTAGAAAATTAATAGGTGTTCATCGTTAAATTTATAAAAAATTTTTATAAAGAAGTTTTTCAAACAGTAGTGAACTTCAACAACAAAAATTCTTTTTATGTTATTTTAATTAATTGAATATATTTTTTTGACCATACAGCTGTTTCGAGTACTGCCAAGTATCCATCATCAGTGGTCTTGGAAATAAAACTTGTATTTAATTATTCGTAAACTATTTTTTTGAGACACTGCAAGTACCAGGAATCGAACACGTGCCCTGCCAAATTTGAAGCTCACAGTCAGCGCTCCTTAACCAACTGACCCAAACCCGTACTTGACTTTTATGTTTGCACATTTTTCTGGAGTTTTTGTTAATTTGCTGTAAAAGTTATATTAACAAATTTACTTGCTGTGTTTATCTTAGAACGAAATCATAAATCAGCTGTAGAATAATTGAATTAATTAATTATATTTTTATATGTAGTTGTTAAATTTCAATATAATGTTGTTTGCAGAAGCATTATTTGTTGCATGATTCATATATTTCTTTTTATGTATAGAACCTAATCTAGGAACGTAATAATGAGAAAGTCAATGTAATGTTACTCCACGAGTCGCACATGTTTTTAACTATCTTAAACGGATTTCGGATACTTTCTGAAATGAGTGTATATATATATATTCCCATGGCAAAAATTATATGATTTTATTATAGTGTTAGTGTGTTCTTTACAATTCGATTACAACAAATACCCAAATTATGAAATAGTTATTATTAGCTTATAAATAAATATATAAAAATTAAAGTGGAAGTATTAACGATCAAGTGCAAAATGTTTTGCATATTAATGTTAGATGAAAACTTTCCCAACGGACACCCCTGTTGAATGATGAATCAACAATTCCGCTAAAGCTAAATTTTTTATTTATCATTATTAGCAACAATCTAACCTGTTATCCCCGCACACTAATCTTGGTATTTGGTTAATGATGAGTGTCCGTTCTAGAGAGTTTTCACAGCATAACTTTTTTAACACGAATAATCTGGAGACTATGCAACTTTTAAATTAAATTATTTATAATCAAATTATTTGCAAAATTAACCTGCACTTAATCGTAAACACTTTTAATGTATAATTAATAAAGTAAAAAACCAATAACATTTTAATTGAACAACAACTTAGTAGCATTAAAAACACAAACAAACCAACAACATATATGGAATAATTTTTGCATGCACAAAATATATTTAGAGAACAATTTATATATATATAAATATAATATATATAATTGTGAGCAATTGCAGTGAAGTTTTAAAAGTTAATAAATTAAAAAAAATATTAAAAAATAAACAAATTTCATACCACTTTTAATTAAAAGCATCGGTATTTGTATTTAATAAACAATTTTGCGTCGATTTTTACTGGATTTTTCAGGGTTTTTAGATTGGTTCGAAGACGAACGTGTAGAACGAAATTTATTACGAGTATCTAATTAAATTTTTTAAAAAAACATTAAATAAAATTATGAAACGTAAGGAAAAAAATTTCAACAAATTTATATATATTAAAAAAATGTGAAGCAAGCAAAATACGTTTTCTTAATGTATTGCTCTTTTTTAATAGATACTTTAAATTATTTCTGACCTTTTGGTGCATAATATGACGCTGAATGTGGGACTTGCACCTGTTGTTGTTGTTGTTGTTGTTGTTGTTGTGAATGCTGTGTTTGTGGCATTTGTGCCCGAGTACTACAACCAGCAATGCCAGTACTACTGTTGTTACCATTACCATCGACACCAACACCACTACTAGTACTTATTAAACTTGTTGGCTGTTCAGCATACCCATGTCCTGCCACTCGAGAATGATTTGTATGCTGACGACCCATTCCGCTGCTCGCGACACGGGAATTGCGGCTGCTTCCTGGATTGCGCGCACCTGTAATTGCTCGACTTGCGTGGGATCCTCCAGAATGCTGAGGCACAATTGAATTACTCACACCTGCCGCTTGGGAACGATGTGCTTCTCGACGATCCCAATCAGGTGGGTGATTACGATGATGTGATCGTTGTTCGTGCACGGGTGGTGGAATGCTACGTGGACCAGCTCCACGATTATGCGGATGTCGCTATTATTTTATAAAAAAAAAATGTGTTTGTGTTTGCCAAATTTAATATTAAATAAATTATGTATTGAATAAAAATCTTACCATTCTTCTTAGAGTATTCATTGGTGCTCTCAATGTTTCACTTATACGTCTTGCTCGGCGCTTTTTGGGATTAGAACTAGGCGTATGCACAGCACAGCACTTAATGAAAATACCCATCACAATAATAAAACCTATTCCCATTAGAACCACTAAGTACCAGTTTTCTATTATCCATTGCGCTACTGTAAGAAGTGTTTCACGATTAAGTAACATATTTTTAAGACGCACTAATGGTCCATCGGCATCAACTGCTCGACATTTCAGAAACACATCGCAATAACCTTGGAAGTTATCACATGGCGATCCTGGACGTAAACTTATACCACCATCTGGCAAACCAAACAAATCTGCGAACTCGCTTGTACTACGACATGTTCCAGTATCGTTGCCATTTTGGCAAGCAAGCTCACATAACTTTCGCTTATCAACTTGTGGTACAATTTGTGATGTTAGGAAGCACTCAGTCATATTCCACAGCAAACATATTGAACCAGAACAATCGCCTCGAATGCAAAGCGCTGTACCATTATTACATTTTGTTTTGTCATCACGAGGCTTTGGTTCTGGACATTCGGCAGTTGTACCATTACAACTACTTGACCACGAACATTCAGTTTCTTCTCTACATTTTTGATGATAGTTAGCTGGCACAAAAGTACATGAATTCGCAAGACAACAAGGACCTTGAGATGGGGAACACTGCGTTTTGGCACGTCTGGTACATTGAGTTGCAGAGCTATTCAATGAGAAATCATATTCACTTATAACTCGTGGGTAGCAACATTTATCTTTGCATTCTTCTTCATTAAATCCACAGTCACATTCCTCTCCAGATTCCACAATCTTGTTACCACAAAATGCACCCTCTGAAGCCGTAAAACAATCTCGTTTAGTATTTCCAACTAAAACGTCAAGAACATTAGATATATTTCGGATCGAGCAAGGCGAGAATTTTGAATTATTTGGCCTATCGCCTGATGTTGCACTAGCAAACATAATAAAGTTTCCATTCATGCCTCCCGGTCTACATTCTTGCGGAAAGTCGTGCTAAAAGATGTAACATTAAGTATGTTTTATATATTAAATTGTTTATTACTTACCGGTGAACCAAAATTATGACCAATTTCATGGGCTAACGTCAATTGTGAAACTTTCGGTGGCACTCTACTGTTGTAGTTAACAAATGTTATAATGCCCGTATTAAGCGAACGTTTTGTGCTTTGGTACTGTCCACCAACTGTTTCAGTATAAGTTTTATATTTTTCACAAATACCACCGGATGCCCCAGAGGCACTGGCAACCCAAGCTAAACCAAGTGTACCGCCAGTAAAATCCCTAAACGAATTTAACAAATAAATATTGAAATTATTTTTAAAAAAAATTTATTTAACCTGTATGTGAATACATAAGCTAAACAAAAATCGGAATGATTTTCAAGTGAATGGAGATTCAAAAAATTCGACACGTCCATATGTTCATTACAAAATGCATTATGAGGACCGTTATACGAAGTCCGGCAAGCAGAGTCATCATCTATTTTTATGCGTTGGACCTTAAAATGAAATATTGATATATATTACACTTATATCTATTTTATTTACATATTAACATATATTATATTTATATATACTATATTTATATGTATTATATTTATGTATAATATATTTATATATATTATATTTATATATTTTATATTAAACAAATGTCAATTAACAAGTACATGTATGTTCCTTTACATAAGATTACAACAACACTAAGATACTTTAATAAAACTGAGTGTGAACTGTTACAAAAGCATTAGTTAAATTTGATAACTTACTTCAAAACGGATGTTACGGTGTTCATCGCGACCATCGAATTTAGTATTACGATATATATAATTCACAGCAGTAACATGATGAGCTATTAATGACGTTATTTCTTCTCGTGTTTTAATATCTATTTCGTCCTTGCGACCACGATCATGCTAGATACAAACGATTATTTAGAATACCACATTACTCTTTATCTGAGAATAGACAATAAATAGGGAAAATATTATTTTACCTCAGCTATTCCTTCTCGTATGTGACGCCAAATTAAAGGATCTGTTTGAATATATAATGAGCAAGTATTTTTGTTATCTTCACGACGACCAGACATAGAAGCTCGTTTGACACGTTGGTTTACACGATCGTGTTTGAAGTCATTATTTGGAAAATACTTATGATCTATTTTTGGATCAGAATCAAACGGTAGATTGGCTTCTTTAGAATACTTTCGGTAAGGATATGTAAAATGATCATCAATATTTGTTGCAGTCTTTAAAAATTTAAATAAATCAAAAAAGACAATAAATTTAAATACACTTTTAAAATATTATATTTAAACGGTTTAATACCATTTGCTCATGTTGGTTTATTTCCATGGCAGTTGGCGCACGCTTTTTGTATATTTTTTGATTTCGCTCATTAACATCTTTTGACATTGGCTCAGGTAGTTCTTCAACTGCGGAATTCTGTATATTTTCCATCCATTGCGACACTTCTTCCGTAATACCACAACCTCCAACGTGTCCTAAAAGTGTGATCCTCAAGTCAGTGTTTATTATAAATTTTAATATACCATAGAATTTTACCTTCTCTAATATCTTTATAAGCATCATCAACATGAGATTCTTTATATATTATAGAATGAAAATTTGAATCATTCTTTTTTAAATTGGAAGGTGTAGTTGTTAAAAATATTGTTGTGGCGTCAGTCGTTGATGATGTACCTGATGTTGAGTCTTCCGGTATTATATTAATGTTATCAAAACTTTTATTAGCTGTAGAACGTAAAGCCGTCGCTTCTGTTCGATTTGCAGGAAAATATCGCTTTGCAAGTTCAACATAATAGGCATCACGTTCCGTTATAATTTTTCCTTCAAACACACCATCTAATATGGAGCCAAATGCATAACTATTGGGTTCGCCTAATACTTCACCTTCGTAAATGTGATCCATGGAAACATCGATTGGCCCGTTACTACCATGTATCTATTAAGATTTTATTATTTATTATTAGTGCAAAATTTTTATTATATATTTTCCACTTACCTCTAACTTATCACTAAATGTGTTCAAATCACGTTTTAATCTTAAATGAAATTCCCTTCCATGCGCAGCGAATTTTATATTAACAATATGATCTTTGGTCACTGATCGTTTCGCCCTGTTGTGACTAGCTCTAACTTGTTCATAGTCGTAACTGAGTATTTCATAATGAGATATGTATTCGTTAAGACGATTGTGACCTAAAAAAACAACAAAAGAAAACAGTTGTACTTATACTGATAGCAAAAATATGTATTAAAAGCAGGACTTTTATTTATTTATATTTATTATTTTATGTAAATTAAAGTCTAACTCAGATATATAATAAATATACTATAATCTTTACAATTTCATTAAACTTATTAATAAAATAGTTAATTGCACAATATAACTTTGTATTGTTAAAATAAAAATTAATATTATCTAAATTCTTATTTTTCATTCCAATATGCTTTTCATACGATAAAATTAATGCTTCTTATGCTGATGAATCTTAAACATGTGTTCACACTACATATTTACCCTCAAAGCTTCTTTAATAAAACATTTTTATGGAACATTCAAATAAAGAAAGGCAATAAATTGTCTTTCTAGCAAAGCTTCTCTAGCACTCTTAGCGTAAGAAGATTGTAAGATAGTTTGAGAACAAAAAGCGTATGTACAACAACATCAGCCGAAGCGGGATAAAGCAGTTAATGGGCGTTAACTCGCACTAGATGAACTAAATATAACTTTAGTCATGATCCTGGTTTTGAAATCAATCATATAAAATGATAAATTTATTTCAATTTTATCTTTTCTTCTTCTTATTTAGCACTACCGTTTTTTTAGCATTCATTGAATAATATAAGCTTGTACTTCAGCTATTAGAGATCCACATGAAAAAGGTAAACTCTAGAATGGATAAGTGACCATTTTTTCTGAACCAACATACGACCATTTACTTGGTTTTGGACTGCCCGCTGATAACTTTCGTCGGGTTCTGCTCACTTTGAAAATCCCAAATAGTGAATTGCTAATTTTTTACCGGTTTCTTGAGCGATTGTCAAATTATAGTGAATCTAATGGGAACAAATCTTTCTCACAGTTTAATGCAAATGTAAAATTGAATGTATACTAATGCACAAGAACGCCTCTATCTCCTGGTATGAAACATCAGATCCATCTCAATTATTTCTCACACTGCACGGATGCTTTCTGGTAAAACAGCCGTTCTTGGACAATCTTCACGAATTTCTTTTGTTTTATAGAAAGTAGATAGAAAATGTCTAACTTACGAACAGAAATGTCAAAATTTATCTGGTAATACTTAGTATTGCCTAGGCGCAAGACTTAAAAGAGGCAGGGACAACCAGCGATGGTGTGAAATTGCAACTTTATTTCTTTATTATTTCCAGTGTGTTTATATAACATATATAACAATATCTATTTATTTAAGATCTGTAAATAAAACTAATAAATACTTTTAAAATACATACTGTACTTAAATTTTTATCAAAAAAATAATAGTAGGAAATACGTATTTACAATTGTTAAATAAGATATTTGTGATATTGTTAACTGAGATTATGATTCGGACAGATCTGAGTCACACATGAATATACACGTGTGTTGTAATTATTTAAACTGTAATCATCAAAAAAGCGCTCCAACCATATGACAGTATACAATCTTTTTCTGTGATCAGTTGTTAGTAAGTATATATATTTGACAGCATATCCGCTCAAATTAAACACACATAAAGTAAATGAGTGGCAGTCATAATACCTGCTGGTGGTAGTTGACCCCATCTACACAATTATAATAAAAATATATATAGAAGAGTGTGTAATACTCGCACATTAAATAAATATAAAATACTAGCAAAAGCCCAACGTACATTGCTTAATGCCATTTTTCCCTCTCGCTTTTCAGTGTTTTCAGTTTTTTCGCGTTATGCAAAAATGACTAATTTTTTGTGACTGCCCGTCCCATTCGCGATCACACAATATATAATTGATCATGTATCACAGTCGTAGACTGACTATTATTCTAAAACAAACTGCAAGTTTTTTCCATTAAATTGTTGATCACACAACAACACTAGACCAAATATATTAGGTCATTAAATGAATTGATTTTATAAGTTGAATGCATTTATATTAAGCCCAAATTACTCATTTCAAGATCGCAGGATTCAATCTCATGGGATTAATATAAGATGCTATGAACCTATCTTTTAGAAGCAAGTACCATTAACCATCAATAAAAACTTTCCATGCATTTAATTACTTCTTCCTCTACAAAACAATCGTCCTTATAAAACACTCAATTAAATTGTGATGACAGGATTGTTATATCTCTAGAGCAAAATAAAACTTTCCATGCATTTAATTATTTCTTCCCCTACAAAACAATCGTCCTCATAAAACACTCAATTAAATTGTGATGACAAGATTGTTATATCTCTAGAGCAAAATAAAGGAAAAAATAATAAAATAATATAATCCAAAACAAAATAAAAAAAATTGAACAAAACAAAAATAAAACAAGAAATAATAAAATAAAAACAATAAATAAGAAAAAGAACATAAAATAGAAAAAATAATTAAAAAAAAAAAATAAAATTCTTTTTTGTTGATTTGAATCAATCCAATTAATTTATCTGTTGACCTCAACGGACTTAATAACTCAATTACTAATTAGTTCTACAAAAATTATCTGAAATCAATTTGCTTTACGATCGGCAGCCACCAATATACTTCGCATATATCTCGCAACCCCTTAATCCCATATCGATTCGTGTATTCATTTTATTTTATGGGAAAGAGTTCAGCTTTCCTGCTTTACAAAACAGTACATATTGAGACCTCAAGTCTCACAAGGTTCAATATTCGGTCCGATACTATGGAACGCCATGTATAATTAGGTCTTGAAAGTTACACGAACTCCCCAAATCAAAATGGCCTATCACCGCTAACATAGAAAACAGAGATGTTGTGTAGAGTGCTCACAAAAAAGGAACCATTTTCATCTCTCATCGACTAAGCCTTTCAATGTCTTAAGGTCCCTATCTACCGCACAATAACAGATTTAAATTTAATATATAGATTTCATTGTTAATGCATCTGAGCACTTTTACTCTTTGATAGCTGGGGGGTTTCTGCAGAGTCCCACCCTTTTCACTGACTAATTTATGTGTTCCTCAAAAAGTTCATAATTATTCGATGACTGATCTAAAATCTGAGTATCGCCCCGTGCGGCTAGTGACTTCTGAGATTAAATAGTACTGAGTGGGGCAACCTGTAGGTTTTCACGAATAGCTTCCGGACTTTGTCTTTTATGTACTTTTTGACCGAATCTATTCTAAGATCTCAGCATGTCGATAAAAATGTCATGTAATTTTGACAACATATCAGTGAAGAAGCAATATCTGTTGCCAAAGACCTCACTACAAACACAATATTTATTTTTTAAAAGTTCTCTTCAATTTGGAATTCCCATTATAAATAAACTTTATACTTTGAAATGATATGAGTATGGCTTGTTGAAAACTGTTTTAAAAATGTAAATCATTCGTCTCCATGTTATCGATATTCTGGCTACGCCACTTAACAGAAATATCAAGAACATGATATCAAGCTTTTTCATAAAAAAATTATACATAATTTTGACTAATAATTATATTATTTTAAAAGCAAATTTAATATGACACTTACCTTTTTCAATACCCGTAATATCTTTTGCGTAACCTAAAATAAAAGATATTATTTTTTAATTGTATTTTAAAGAACATTTCAAAAAAAAAACATATTTATTAAAAAACTAAATGAAGTTGCTTTAAGCATTAGGTATTTAAAAAATTTATTATAATTGTATTGTAAACAGTATATAAAGTTTCAAATAAAAGAAGCATATTAACCGAAATTTAAATATCCTAAACTCCAAGGATAAATCTACATTTATCGGCCAATTTTTTGTAGTAATATTTGGTTAAAGTTTAATTACTCAATAAGTTATTAATCTCAAACTTAAAGTTTTAAGGGCTATATTTAACTACTGTTATAGAAGCCATTAGATGATACTTTTTTAATAGTTGATACGCAAATGATTTTTGTAGCAACTGCCATGACCTGTAAGACATGTTAGTACTATAAATTATTGGCTTTTGGCTCTTATGAATATCATACAATTCTGGGTTCATCACCTTTCTTAAATGTTCTACTAAAATAATAGTTGTAGATGATGTAAGGATTTCGAAGTTCATTACAGTTTGTTTTTAATTCGATGAGTGGTTGTGGTTCAATGAGTACTGTCAAATGTGTTGAAGTAACGACCAAGTTTTATCAAAATAGACCTGCTGTACCCTACGTCTTTGTGGACAAAATAGTTTAAGTAAAGAAAATCGAACTTAATCTCAACTAAAGAAATTTTCCTAAAATAAAATCTATCTCAACTGTAAGAGAGAAATAGTTCCAAGAACGACCATATGTATGTATTGAAACCATACGCTTACGCGAAAAAGCACTGATCAGTATTTCCATTAAAATTTTACTATTCCCAAAATTACGATTAAAATAGATAACACCAATCACCAATGACAATAAAACAACCGAGCGACAAAGACAGACTTGACAACTATATGTATATCTAAACATATCTAATTATTATGAATATATCTTTATGCATTATATATATAAAATAATAATGTTACTTCAGTGCGGAAAACCTTATACAATTTTTTTGTCTTTGAGCTTTTATTAATAACTATATAATTGTTTTTCTCTTTTTAGTAAATAAAAAATGACTATTAGCAAAAATATATGATATGGCTGAATAATTTGTTTAAAAATATTAAAACTTTATAGGTTATAGAGTGCCTCCTTCACTGTGTTACAAACATATCAAAAAACCTGCTCGAGAAACTCTTAAAGCAAGTCAAGTCTGCTTTTTGAGTCTCTCTCGAGATCACTCCTGGAAATCAACATAGAATGCATCAGTATTTAAAAATATGTTACTATACTTTCTTCACAGAATTTTTATGGCATAGGCAATTTGTCTGAGATCAGATTATTTCAAAGACATGCTTTTATTTGGTCTCCACTTTCTGATAAAAGTATTCCTAATAAAATAACTAACATTATTTAAAATATGTATGAGGGATCATGTTGCCGAGCTACATGAAGGCCAATTAAGCAAACCTTTTCTGACCGTATCAGGAGGCAAACAAGAATGGGAAGAACAATCTCCGTTGTTCTTTATAACTGCATTAAACTTAGTATTTGTGGAAGCTGACTGGAAGCTGACACAAAAATTAGTCGATCTCTGATATGCTGATGCAGGATAGGCTTTCAAGCTAAACAAATGGCGGTCTGAAACTTGAATTAAAAGTTAACACGAACAATACTGAATTCATGCGAATTAAAGTGAGCAACAATATACAGATCCAGATCTGCAGACCCAGATCAATACCACCATCAGTCGTCAGGACTGATGGTGGCACAATAGCTATATTTGTACATTTTCGAGATTGTCACGAGTGTGGTTGACTAGCGCACCTAAAAAAGAAACAAGTTAGAATTTTCGATACTTGCATGAAATCCGTTTTAATCTATGGCAGCGAAACATGCCATCTAAAACTTCAAACCTTTGCCAACAGATGTTTACGTCGCATTGTTGGCATTTAGTGGCCGCATACTATATCCAATAAACGTTTACGGCAAATGACAAATCAAAAACCGATCGAGAAAGAAATAATGCGCAGGAAGTACAAACTCGATTGGATATACTATTCGTAAAAACTCTGACGAAATTGTATATTTAGCCTTTCAATGGAATCCTCAAGCAGTAAGAAGCAGTGTTCGTCCCAAAATGACTTGGCGCAGATGCATTAACAAAGAAACCCAAAAATCTTTCAATATATTAAAATACATTGCTAGGAATCACGATATGTGGAAATTTTATGTAAATAGACTAAGTTCTTAATTAAATAATTTTTTTTGCAACATGTCAATAATAGTAATAATGTTTTTATTCAGATCCACAATTAGTTTAATTAGCAGATATTTTAAAATATAGATTAAATGTGTGGATTACACAACTTGCCTATTAGTTTTAGGAAAAAAACTAATTAAGTTCTAAAATAAAGTCCTTCACCGGCATACCAGTGACCCTTCTATATATAATCATATTAAAATCGAAAGCTAATTAATTAGACTGCTTATTATAGAATGCCTATTTTTATTTATGTCAAGGCGGAACATTTTATTTATTTATTTATAATTACGGAATAGACTCATACGGAATAGACCCCTGGGAATATATATTTTTACGGAATAGGCAATGAAACTCTTTAAAGTAGGTTCTATACTAATTTTTATGGACTCAAAGCGGCTCAGAGACCTACTCTAAACCCAGAAGCGGCCGGCCACATATATGCTGTTAGAATGTTCTGCGCTTAAGTACAAATGGAATATATCCCTGGGAATGTATATTCTTACTGAAGATTCAATAAAACTCTGTGAAGTGGATTCTATACTCTATACTACTTTTTATTGACGCAACAGGGTTAAAGGACCTAGTGTAAACACAAAAGGTGGCACAATAGACCAGACGGTCGCAGTGCCACATTCCCTAACAATAATAATAATAATAATACATGACAAATTAATAGATTTTTAATGGGAACCTTATTGAGTTATATCAAGATTGCTATTATAATTTAAATTATATTGCACAAAATATCAATATATTTAAAATTTACTTACCATTTACGATGATGATAAATATGATCAATGTGAAAGCAACATTTATTCCACATTTTGAAGACATTATATCTCCTGGTAAGCTTAGTTGCAATGAAGTACCGTATTGCTACGCATGAATGATGGCAGTATTTATTTACTATTTAGGTAAACAATTTATTTCATCGTTGGGTCAATGTAAAATGTAGTACTGCACTTTTAGCACATATTTTTATTTATTTTCACCTTTAAGAGAGAACTTTATTTTGATTGGAATGAAAGATGGTTTTGTTATTAGGCAGTGTTAGGCAATGTGTATCAAATCTAGGAGGATTTAGATTTTATTACTTATATTAAATATCATTCATTTGTATAATATAATTGTATATGTAAACACTTTCAATATTTTATACTAAAAAACACTACATAGATATTGTTAGTTAATTTACTGGAAACAGTTTGAAACAAAACTATATGTATGAAAATATGAATAAGTGTAAATTAGCGATAAATACAAATTAGTCATTTAACTACAATGAATTGTTTTGTATGTACTGAAAGAAACCAACCATTCAGATAAAAATCTTATATGCTCAGTCACTTATTCTTATTTTATTTATTCAGCTTCAATGTTATTTTAAAATTTAATAGGGCATTTGTCAACATATTTGTATATTTTATCAGTTGTTACAAAATATACAAAATATATAAAAATAATATTTAAATGCATAGCCGACAGAATAAAGCAGAAACCAGAAACCAGAAGTTTGTTTCTTTCTTTAATTTTTCATTTATTTTTATTTAGATTTATATCAAATATTATTTTGTTTCTTATATTCGCACATGATTTCAATTTTAATAGGAATTGGACATTTGAAAAATGAAAAAATTCATCTCAACATTATAACTAATAATTTTAATTACAATATTTATTCTCTATTATAAGTTTTAATGCCAGTATGTTTGTACTATACATTTGCATTTAGTTAAATTTTTATATTTAAATAAAGCGCTCACTTCCATTGATAATAACTTTAATTATTTTTCATGATAAACGTCTACATCAATTAGTGGCAATTACAAATTTAATACATTAAATACATTTAAGAAATATATAGACATACACCGAAAATAACTATGTTGAGTTGAACACAATTTCCACACAATGAATGTTGTTTAGCATGTGTCCAAACAAAATGAGCAACAAAGATGACAATATGTTCAAAAATATATTAATCAACACGCACTACTTTAGCTAATTACAACTTTTGTGTAACTTTTGAAAATAATAATTTAATAATATTTTCCGTAAACAGTATTACAACTGTCTAAGCCCTGAAATATTCACATTACACATTAAAAAAATAGCAGGTGTTGCGTTTATTTTCTTATTAGATAAAACATTTTTCAATATAACACGTTCAACACATAAGAAATGTTAAATACTCGCTTGCGCTTAGTACACAATTCAATAAGTCCTACAGTAAAAATGCAATATCAATAATTGAACGTAAACACAAAAGTAACCTTCTGTTATATTTATTTGGGGTACCTTGTGTTAGTTCAGCTATTCGCTTTTCACTTGATATCGCTTTTCATATTATAGTTTCCTTGTAACTGAACTTTTTTCTCATTTTCAATCTTTTTTTTTAATATTGACTTTTACAATATATCAACATATTTGGTTTTTAACACCAACCTCAACTCAATTCTTTTTCAATTTTCACAGGAAAGTCTTTAATATTATACACAAAACCGAACGTTACACACGCGCATATGTATACACAACTATATTAAATTGTTTTATATTTTTAAATTATTTCATGAATTTTTTGTTTTGTTCAGATTTTCTTTCCCACTTTTGCTTGTAATCACACACAGCGAATCTCAATAGAGACGCACAGTGCAATGGTTATAGATTAAACAAAATGTAAATGAAACACTGATGTAACTTAAACTAATTACAGGGTTCTCATATGTACTTTTATCTGCTAAATGAGCATAAAATTTGGAATTCGACACAATTCATTAGCACCACATTTCTAATATATCATATCAATTAATAGTAAATATAGCATGATACCACTGCAAAAATTCCATATTGAACAATTTTACAAATATGATAATTATTTGATGATGGTCACACTCTCAGGCAATACAAAAATGAAACTCACATAGAACACATTCAACAATTTGAACAAGTGTGAGCGAAATGTATACAGCTTTGAAAAATATTTTTGATGTGTTCGGAAACTTTTTAATAGATTCTATGAGTAATACAAGTACTGCATAGATGTATTCAGAATTTCGTTAATATTATAAATTGATAGCCACTTTTTAATTATTTCTCAATTGAGTTGGGAAAATCAAAAAATTAAGAAAAAACTAAAATTACTTTATTTTTTTTCAAAATTCACATTTAGTATAATTTTCATTTTCGATTGGTAAATCAGTATAACACTTGAGATTAATGTGTAACAGTCGAGATTAATTAGTTTTTTAATAAAACTTTTTTTTTATATTCGTATATTGTTATTATATACTTTTTTCAACAATCATAAATACCACATATAATTTAAATATTTTGCAATACTTTACAATAGGAAAGGCGTTTTCGATTGGATAATCTGAAGGTGCTTCCACACCAAAGCGAACGCTTGCGAACAAACGAATATTCGCAGGTAATCATACCTACAAAAATCGCTTTGGTGTGGATGTACCTTGAAACAACTTTTTTAAACGAGATACACTTTTAGATTAATATTCATTTTCAATTGGAAAATCTGTATAACACTCGTGATTAATTAGTTTTTTAATTAAATTTGTTTTATATATTTTTGTATCGTTATAATATACTTTTTTGAGAGTTTTAAAAAAACTTCCTAAAATATGTTAAATACTTAGTTTTGACATATGTTTTTCGTTGTGCTGCGCTGTGTACAATAGGCGTTTACGGTGGCTCGCAAGTGTGGTAAAAAATGCATGCTGGCCTATATTCGTTAAGCGAGGTATTAGTATGACTGTTACAATCTATCATATGTTGCAATCAAATTACATTTTGCATAAAAATAAATAGTTAATATATAATGAAAAATAAATTGAATACAGAATTAAAAGGAATGGTAAAAATGTTAGAAATTTCAAAATAAAACATTGTTATTTTTTCTTTTTTACTGATTTTCAAATTTATAAAATTTTTGAATTTTGTTTGAATTTTTGTTTACATCTGATTTTTGACATATGATTGCAATATTTGTTGAAATTCCCAACAACGGTTCACAATAGTCCGCTTATTATGTTGGTAACACTTTATTCTTTACTAGCCGAAGTGTATGGCCAGTAATACAACTACTGACCTAGATATGGAAAATAGTGTTATTGTTTTGCGTACATTTTAGTCAGTATAGGCCAGGAACTTTACGGTTTTTTGCCACACTTGCGAGCCATCAAAAACGACTAATGTTCTGATTTTCAAGATTTGTTAATACGACACTTATATTGTGAAATTAGTAGATCATAGCAATAATCGAGATTAAAGTACTGATTATGTTGATTAATCACAGAGTTCCCATACAAAAGTTAATATCCTTTAAATAGTAATTATTTTTCTGTGCAACTCTGCAAATGGCTTAATATCGTAGATTTTTTACGATCTTAAAAGAATTTGTAAAGAAATGTTAAAATTTATTTAAAAGAAATATTGAAAATTTGAAAATGCCGAAGTGAGTAAATTTTTCATAAATTTACTTAATAATAGTTTTGTACATAATTGTAACTAAAATTTATTAAATTATTGTTATAAAACTATTTATTAAATTTATGTTTGAAAATGTCAAAGAGATTAAATTTTTAATAAATTTCTTTAATAATAGTTTTGTACATAATTATAAATAAAATTTGTTAAATAATTGTTATAAAAGTATTTATTAAATTTATATTACAATTGTTTTGTACGGAGATGTGATTAAATGCTTCATTTACAAAAATTTATCAAACACTCAAAACAAAACATAACAAGATTATCGTCAAAATTAATCTCCAATGTATAATATAACCGATGTGGATTAAAAATACAGATTAACTTAATCTTGTTAATCTAATCTCTTAATCTTGTTAGGCCCACAATGTAAACATATTATAACAACAATACATAAGTAGTTATAATATTCTAAGAAAGTAAAATTGCAGCTGGCAATGCTTATTAAAAGCGCAACAATAGGTCGGTGCCCGTAAATATTTATAATAATTTTAAATATAAAGAAACTTAATTTTAAAAAAGTAAAATTAATTAAAAAGTACCCTACAGATCAAATTCAATTTTGTTAAATCTTTGTTGGAGAATTTAGCCTCAGAAGTTTAAAATTTGTTCTCAGATATGTCTGTAGATTTCATTTTTACTAAGAGTGTTATTAATAGCGTATGATTTGATATATTTTAACGAATATTCTAATGAGTTTATTATTTCGCGCCATTTTATAGCAGAATGGATTTATAAAAACTGTTTTAATGATCTTATTACGCAAATTATAATTTATTAACAATAAAGATATTTTTAAAAGTTTTAAATTTTAGTTCATTAACATTAAAAGTAAAACAATTTTTTTTTGTAAATATTTAAAATTAATTTAATAATTTATTAAAAATTAATTTAATGACATTAACATTTTTAGTCATATAATGTATACAAAATTAAATTAATGGATATTACAAATTTACTTTTAAAAACAGAATTTCATATATTTCATATAAATGTTATAAATATGTTTATAAACGTTATTCCATAAAGATTAAATTAAACGTTACTTTTTTTATTGTCTAATATAAATTTAATTGAATTTTGTTATATGTAATTGAAAATTAATTAAATCCTATAACAAAAAATATTTTCAGATAAAGAAGCGGGTAATAATAATAAAATATATAAATCCAAAAACTTTTTTTTTATTTTCAATTAAATGAATTGTTAGACTAAAGCATAATATAGACCCACACCATAAAAATAAAATAATGTGGTTTTTCCAGTAAACCAAAAGAGAATTTGAGTAATTGTAGTAGAATAAAAGCATGTCGCGGGCTACACGTGGCTCGCGACTAATTTTTGCGTTCGTTTATATAAAGAATTATCTCAGCTTTTTAATAAAAGATGATTTTTTTAAATTTTATGTGTATTTATTTATATAGTTTCTTTCTATATACTATTAGTATTATTCCACTTTAAATAGTGATAATCCAATGAATGTAAGACGAATTGTTATAACATCCTCATCATAATAAAAAAAATTTCACTTAAATAAATAATAAAAAATAATAATTTTTAATAATAATAAAAAAAAATAATAATAAATAAATAATAATAAAAAATTGTTTCTGTTAAAAAATGTATATAAACCTTTTTATAAACTAATTCATTATTAACAGAAAGTAACCCGTACGGGCGGTATGCAGATCTTAGATCAGTCATCGAATAATCAGCTAAGTTTGTAAGGAAAACATAAATAAGTCAAAGAGAAGGGAGGAACCCTGTAGAAACACTCCAGCTAAGAAAGAGTAAAAGTGCCTAGTAGCACTAACTCAGAAAAGCCTCAACATAAAACAATAGTTTTTATACTAAACAAAATATACATCAAATTAAAAAAACTTTATATCCTCACTCATTGTTTGGCAATTCTTTTATTGTGATCGCATTTGATAAGACAGTCAAATGACTTAACAAAGTCATTAAGTCAGACTTTTTCGTATTTCTATATAGCCTATTCTTCCCGCTTTCTCTAGGCATTCATTTTAAAGCGGAGACATTCATTGGAGTATTCTCCAATTTATCCATTGTTATTGCATCACAAATCGTCTTGGAAAATAAGCAATATGTTGATTATAAAACTTGGGCAATTAAAGAGGATAGGAAGAGTGAAGAGATATAAGCGAAGATATGTATAAACTGCACCCAAAGGATTGTTCCCTTTGGGATACATATACATATTTGTTAACCTCAAATATGTTTGCGCACTTGGACATGAAAATAGATGCAAGCATGGAACATAAAACCTCGATGTAGGCATATCTTCGGTTTTGTAGATGCTGATTTACTTATTATAGAAATAAGAAATCAATACTCACAGCGTCGATTGAACATTCTACTAATTGTGGCCAGTATGGATGTCCAAATGTGTGTTACGAGAAATGATATACTCTTGATAATAGCTAGTTGTGCTCCTTTCCAAAGCAACTTATTCATCATATACATATGTATGTATGTTAGACACTGTGTGAGAAGTGCTCTGTTAAATATACCCTCTAAATAAAGTTCTGATTCGAATACTTAATGTATGAATGTATCCAAAATTAATTATTGTTAAAATGTTTTGTAAAATTGAATGGAAATAATATGGACATGAACAGATCTGTTCTGATTTAAATGTAAAAAGTATATAATCAATAGCTTACCTAAAGGTTTAGGTATAGAAAATGGGGGTTTCATTTGTAAATATTATTATATATTTGTATTTTACTTCAATACATATATGTATGTGTATATGTAACTGCTTTATAAATATATAAACTTAATCTATAAAAATTTTCCTAGTGAATTCTTAATCATAGTACGTGAAAGGTATGTTCAGCCAAAGCTCTCTAACTCTTTCTCTCTTATATATGTGGAATATTTTCTGTTTTTATTAAGGAACGCTATAATAAATAACAAAAATATTTTTAGTCTTATTTAAAACTACAAAATGATTTCATATTTTTGAAAACGAAAATCTTTTAAATGTTGTCTGTTTGGTTGGAATGCTGGGCGCATTTTATTGTAGTTTGCTTGAGTACATATTGTGACCTTAAAGGGATTTAAGCATTTTCCACAAAATTTACTGTATTTAAATATCCATATTATCCAACATTATTAACAGATTTTTGTGTAACACTCGCTGAACAATTTTTCGTTAGACCTCTGAACTGTACAAACAGTACTTCCTGTGTGCATTGCTGTAGCACACAGGAAGTACCGTAAGTTACTGTTGTTATAGCCTAAATTGTCCTAAGCAGTAAGCACATAATGTATGTATATGGATTACAAAACTTACACAACGTGTTCATTTGAAGAGAGTAAAAGTAGATAAGGAATGGGTATCAGTGTTGAATTTAACTTAGGTACAGTTGAAGGAATCTTGCCACCTTAATGAGACGAACCCATAACTAAATGGGATTGAAGTTTCTGTGTGCAGTTGAACATAAAAATAGTTGGTCGATGTCATGAGGAATAGAATTGCAATTGAAGAATCGGTACTTGTTCGTTGATAGTATAACAAAAATTTCAAGGGCATTTTGATACTTCATTTTTTATAAGAATCTAGTTAATATTTTTCTGTGAATGCCCGACTTTGGCGTCCAGAAGCTATAGATTCTTAGGAAAATACTTCTTTGATAGTTTATCAGACTGTACATCGGTGAAGCCGAAAAATCTATTAAATTATCTAAATTCGGCGGGATGGATTTAGGCTCTACTCTTCTATAGTAGGATTCTTGCGAGAAATGTGGTAGCAAAACGGCGAAAAATCGCCTTAGATGCATGGTGCATCTAATGGCCTGCCAATACAACCAACCAACCAGTCAATATTTCAATTAGTGCTACTCGAAATTGAAGGGTCAGTATATAATTCACATATGAAAAAAAATTGAATCAATGAAATGAAATGAATTAATACTTTATAGGTACGTAAACTCTACTTTATGCCTATGTTATGTAGAGTGTCACGGGCACGTCAAAATTAAAATTATTGTTGCTTTCAATGCAAATTAAAAAACTGAGAGTGAGAGAAAAAAACAAATGTCGGTTTAAATTCGGTCATGAGTGCCGAGGCTATACCGTTGCTAAAATACGGTATATAGTCGAAAAAGATTTCACAGTATGTCGTTAATGATGCAACAGCAGATGTGGTGAAGAGTACGCACATGAAAGATTTATAATAAAAATTTTATGTACATACATTAAATGATATATATTATGTCCACTTTCCATTTTGAATGCAAACCTTCCCAGACTTTCTCAGCAAAATATGGATAGTTTTTAGAATGAATAGAAATACAGCAGAGGCTCACAAATTAGAACCACTTGGTTTTTCGGGTAGTTCGAATTTGCGAAGAGTTCCAAATTCTGGACTTTTTTATTTCCATAAAAAATGAAAAAAAAAATTAAACCTCTACATAAAAATTTTATTTTACAGTTGAAATCAATCCTTATTAAGCATTATTGTATAAAATACTCGGTAATGTTTATTTGTTAAGTCAAATTTTGTACAGTTATTATTATGGAGAGTTAAAAGATAGGTCATATCAGTAGGAAACGAAACACTCTTTTTGCACCAACTTATTAAGATAAAGACACAGTCAATCGCTTCAGAATTTGGGTGTTCGTCTCGGAGCCACTCGTCGTCAGCGACGACCAAGTGCTGTTCAAGACCCCCCAAAGGAACTTCACAAGTAAGTCCCAGCGAGTTACAACAACAATATCGTTTCAGCATGAGACCCTATTGGTGTGGGATAGGGAACGTCATCTTCAATGTTATTTAACGTATCATTATCAGTATTGAACTCAAATTCAGATCTGTCTTGAATTTGCATTTCTAAATGCGTTTTTTTTTTGGAAACAAATACAAACAATAACATTTATTAACTTACTAATTTACATAAAGCTCAAACAAAACAAAAAAAAACAGAAAGAGAAATTAGTTCAAAAATTAGAACCAAAAGTTCTAATTTTAGAGCTTTAAGTACATACAATAAATTGAAGATTTTTGGTTCCAATTTTTTGACAATTCGAATTAATAAGAGTTCTAATTTGTGAGTCTCTACTGTAATTGTATGTGTTGTTTTATCACTATAGTTGAGTGATGATCTTGACCACAATAATCTTGAAACAATGGAAGAGACAAAGGAGTGCCGTAAATCCGGCTTTTCAACTTCGAAGCGTTTTTCTTGGAATGAAAAAGGAATTTCGTTAGATAGGTAGATTTTTTCCGAACTGACAAAGTCACAAACTCATATTATTATTGTTACCTATTTGTAAAAATCCTTAAAGTAAGTTTCGTCCAAAAGACCATTGCCAAGCGATGAAGTCAGTCAATTAAAATACAATTTTTGCAAACAATCAGCGCCAGATATAGGTTCCTCTGATTTCGTTCTCATCAAACAACGCAAAAAATGCGCTCACGGAAAACGATTGTCATTAGTCAAGAGAATAGGAACTTTGCAACAACGAGTCTATTTGCTAATTTGAGTTACTTCTCACATTGGCCTCTTATTACTATAAAACTCTCATAGAAAAGGAGAGCATCGCTAATAGCTGCCGTAAAATTGTATTTTGTAGACATTTTGTTGAAGCAGGAGCCCAAATATTGAAGAATCGTTCGTATAGATATGTATATTCAAGTTGAAATAGATTATACAAAGTGAAATCTTTTATATAGAGTTATAAACCACATTAGAATCCTTTATAAATGCGTTTCATTAGAACTTAGAAAAACATGGTTTTTACGTGATCTTTCTTTGGTAAATAATGTTTTGATTTTCACGATCACCAATTATTGCTAATGTCTTTGGTAATGTTGTAATGTCATATTTACCTCGATAAATAAATTTATCTTGTTAAGTTTATATAATATATTTTGCCCTTACCTATAAACATTACCATAAACTGTAAAGTACTTTCCTAAAAACCTGTACCTACTAGTAGCAAACGTTGGAGAACAGCGGGTGTAGTTCGTAATGACGCGATCGAAAGAAGAAACGTTATTCATTAATATGAAACTATTTAAATTGCATCAAGTTCGTAAATATTGTAACTCGCCAATCAAAAAAAAAACAAAAACACTTAAGTAACATGAATTTTACGAAAAAGCATTTTTAATCTCATAATTTAACGTATTTTGTTACAAAATCGTAATTTCTTTCTTTCTCTGTTAATTGAATTCCTACAATTTGTTCGTTACTGTATACAAATATGGAAATTGATGTCATACATGTAATTAGTTAGTAAGAAAATTTGTTAAAATTTTCTTAATGAATATTAATATTTGAAGGAATTTCGCTTCAGCGAGCATTTTTAAAAAATTGTGGAATTTGAGATATTTGTGAAAAATTATGCAATTTTTAAAAGAAATGTAATGAATTTTTAAACGTGTTTAGAAAATGTAGAAAAGAATTTGAATAATTGAATTTAGCAATCTATAAACTTAAAAGTATAAAAAAAAAGTTTTTAATTCCTGTATTTATCTCCGGTTGCCCCACACATTGTTGGTTGGCACAGGAACTCGCCTTTGTCCAGATTCACGCTGTATAACATCTATAACGCTTACTGCAGGCAACCAAGACTAAAATAGAAACCAATGATAAACAAAGTATTTATAAGTAAAATCATGTGCAAGAACATACTCTATCTCTATAGGCAGTTGCAACAACGTTGCGGTTTGGTTCCGAATCATAAGCTACTGATTCAACACCAAACATTTGGCACATTTCATGCACTAATTGACGTTTTTCTCTGTTCATGGTTGGAAATGAATGGCTGCGAGATTTTTGTTTACTCTCCTTTGCTAATTTTACCAAGTTAGTAAGTGCATCATGAATGGACTTAACAAGTGTGGGATCTCGTTTGGCGAAACCGCGTATAAAATCTGAATATTTAGTCATAAGTTTTTGCGATGTGTCCGGATTACGTATTTGCAGTCCAATAGCAATGCGACGATTTCGTTCAGCCAAACGGCATTCTTCATTGCAATCAAGACTATTAAATTGATGATAAAAGATTAATTATAAGATGTAAATAATATCTTTATTTTTTAAGGTATACTTACGTCTTATTTGTTTTAACTGGTGCTAAAATTTCATTTAAATTCATGTAATTGCCTCGCTGCATTTCAGCCATTGATGACGCCAATTGTGCGGTTGCAATACGGCTATATTCTCGCGATAAATCATAACATGCTCTCATTTGTTTTCTATGGCCGCACTCGCATTGAACCTCAACCTACATAATAGACATAATAATATTTAAACCACAAAAAAAAAGGATTAAATAATCATTTACCATTTCTTTACAAGGCGTGTCAGGGCAAGCTCCATTGTGGCATGCTGCTAAACACTTATGTGTGCAAGTTGTGCGTAATGTAGTACAATTTTGCTTGCAAACTTCACCTGGAGTTTGACAACTTCCATCATGACAAGGTTTAATGCATTTATGTCGTCCACAAGGCAGTGGCTTGTTACAAGCGAGCCCGCAACTGAAGCTAGCTTGAGAGCACGGTATAGTGCGACGTTGTTCATGCTGTCCAAAACACCATTTTGTAGTAAATAACATACATGGCGGACATGCCCCTGCTGAATGGCAACCGTGTTGAGGAGCATGATTACAATTATGTGTGCGTGAGCACGGGCGGTTACAAGTTGGTCGCTTTGTTCCGCATGGAACCGGAGGGTATATAACTTCAGCACCGCATTCACAATACAATTCTTCAAAAGAAGAGCGATAACATGGTGGACAATTACCACGATGGCATGGCAAATCGCATTTATGCTTTCCACAAGATAGCGTGTAGTTACACGGCAGTGGACAAATGTGGTCAATATCTATACAGCATTCTTGATTACATTTGTGTTTACCACAGGATCGTTTTTTTACACAGCGTTTTTTACATCTAGCATCATCTGCGCGAGTAGAAAGTTGACGGCATTTAATCATTTGGTCCATATGACCACAACGACATTTCACAGCAGTCTGCTTGTTGCACGGTGGACAATTTCCAGCATGACATTTGCTAGTGCAACTATGAGGATGTGCTGCAAAATATTTTATATATTAATTTTTAATATATCTTCGCAAAATTTAAAGCTTATAAATACCTGGTTTGCCACATCGTAATACTTTACCGCAGACATTTTCACAAACTGGTATCGGATCTAAACAGGATTCTCGTTGTTCTTTCAATATAGACGTTTTACCGCAAGGACAAGTGGTAACATTTTCAGGACTAACCTTACAGGTTCGACATTCACCAGGATGACAACAGTCTTTGCACTTATGATTGCCGCATAATAAATTCTTATTACACGGTTTGCCACAAGAATAAACGTGCTTATCATGTGTTTCCTTAGAGCACGTTATTTGACGCTCAACATCATGACAATGGCATTTTTGATCAATTTTTTCTGTGCAAGGTTCACATTTATTTTCGTGACAAGTTTCTTTGCATCTATGCACCTCACAATTTAAGAATTTATTACATGTAGAATTGCATTTAATAAAATCTTTAAGGCAGCATTGCATTAATCTTTTAGTTTTACCACAACCACATTCACGTAACACATTTGCCTGACAAGGAGGACAAGGTCCAGGGTGACAAAGTAATGTACAGGCGTGGATACATCCATCAACACGGCCGCAGACCTCACCACATGAATGCGCCAAGTCTTGACGCGAATATTGAGGATTTTTAACCTTTCCACAAAAACAGAAATAATCACGCGGCACATCTTTGTCGACATTTTGACAAGCTGGACAACGCCAGCCATCAGCCGATTTCGAAGTGTTTGCCCATTTTATGATACAATTCAAATGTAATAAATGATAGCAATTATTACAAGACCAAACTGATTGATGAGTTTTGATTACTTCAACGCAAACTAAACATTCGAGGCATCGATTCTCTATGTCCCGAATCAGCTTTTCACGCTGCGTTAATTTCTCATTTTCACCATCCTTCTTTGGAGACGATTTCTACAAATAATATAATTACTTCATTTAACATTTTCTTAATATTGCAACATGTAATTATGTATGTATGTTTGTGTACTACACAGTGCTACGAATAGTGCTACACATTTGAGCAATTAGATGGACGACTAGCTTAAGAATGTCCATATTCGAATATTTGGATCCAGCAAATTTTCAATGCTTGAAGATTAAATTCGAACATTTCGATTTCACACTTCAATGTTACGATACGTTCGATTTGCTTCATATTTCATTTGATTTTTTTTTTTTTTGAATACAAATAAAATGTTTAATAGTAAATACTTGAACACTACATAGCGTTCGAACATTTTCGAACATAATTGATAATCGAAAGGTTCTTTATTTTGATCAACATATATATATGAAGCTACATGTATTAAAAATATATTCGAACTGCTGAGCGGCTCTATTTTTCATTTTATGTCACCTCTATTTTATACAATTATGCATAGCATATGAATATACGATGTTCGAACCCTTTCGAAAAGCTCGCTGTCGATAATCGAACGACAAAATGCTAAAAGTTTTGAACAGCAAACACCTCAAATATTTGCAGCTTAGTGTATACATTTTTTTTAAACAATTTTTTTAATAGTAAATGCAAAGACAAAAAAAAATGAAAATGTAAGAAATTAAATGATATAGCGTCCTATATAAACTTTGTTATGTAGCGTATAAACATATCCTATAGAAACTATGTCATGTGGGACGTTATATCACTATATTCTTTATATTATATACCATAGAAGACATATAATGAATTGAATAAATTAATATTAGGTCTGTTCCACGAGGTGCTCGTAGTAACTTTGAGTACCACTGTGTATACACAAGGCGATCCACCAGCAAATTTTCGTGTTCCCTTGTGTTTTACTATGAGTAGCTCGTGGAACAGACCTATTATGTATGAATATGAATCAATATTATAGAAACATATAAATCCATAATACAAACCTTTTCTGGTGAAGATATAGGACTATCTTTAATATCAGAAGAATATTTTTCTTCAACGCGAAATCCATTAATACGATCTCTATTGCGATTCCAGTCATCACGTCGTTTATTGCTTCTATGATTTTCATAACGATGACGATTATGATTACTATCTTCTCGATCGTTGAAAGTTTCTGATCTTCGTGAATTTTGATAACGTCTATTATCACGGTCCCGGTCGACTCGTGCAGATGTTCCATTCATTATATTATTTGAATGTTTTCTATTATTTTTTGAAGAACTTTCATTGAATGAAGCAGGAAACAAAGATGTAGAGCTAGAAGGAATAGTGCTCATAGCAGACTTATCAAATTTTTTCTTATTACAGTCGATACGTGAATTATTCACAGGTGTGCATAACTGATTTGTTAGTTCCAGTGGATTTTGCTCAATTTCTTGTCTTTCTGAATTTATTAAATCACTATTGTTAGTAGTCGTTGGCAATACATTATACTGATTGCTGTTAGCCTCAATTGGATCATTTAACGAAAGCTTGTTAAAACGTGGAAAAAATTCTGGTGCTGTTGCATGTAAATTTGATGATCTAATTTGAAACACATCAGCAAACGGATTTGATATAACGGGATTATTATTAGCATTTCCTTGAAAATCCACACTACTAACGGCAAAGGTACTACTGGTATTATATGTGGCTAAATCACTATAACTTATTGAATTTGAAGTACCGCCATTATAAAAGTACGCATGAGGATTACAATATAAGTCCTGTATTTATTAAATTAAAAATAAGTTATTAATATATATGTTACCAAGTATAGTTCAAGTAATAATATACTCACATTTGGTTGCTGAAAATAATGATAGGAGCTATTCTTATTGATTGTTGGGTTTACAAACCCATTATTTGCTCTGTTGACAACAGTATTAAATGCATTATTTATATTTGGATCAGATGTTGACGTTGAAGTCAAAGTTGCCGAATGGAAACTGCCATCTCCGCTATGAAAGTTATGTGGCATAATAAATTGGTTGAAGCTTACGTAGTTATTATTGACATTATTGGTGGTAATCGGTATTCCAAAATTATTTGAACCTGCAATATCATTATCGATGCTATTGGATGGATTCGTGTCGACTTCTTCTTCTGTAGACATTTCCGTCTACAATTCCACGTTTCTTTTTTTTTTTTTTTTTTTTTTTTGTCGTTTATAAATAATCAGAGCTGGTAACTTACTCGGAAGCAAACAATTCAGCTACTTTTTTACAGTGTATATTGACTTTGCCAATTTATATAGTTAGAAGGCAATAATTATTTTATTCAGGTACACGCGTCAATACTTCTTTAACTGTAAAGAGTTTGTAATCAATCCAAAATGTTTATGTACTAAGTATATATGAAATTATTACAACAAACAATCAACACATCTTTCATACAGCCGAACCCAAACTCTTTTACAAAATTAGCGAAATAATTGCTGGGAACGACATACGCATTTCAGCTATTTCACAAATAAAAGAAACTAACTGCGTGATGCCACATGTTTAAAATTTAAACATTTTTTTTATTAAAATTATTATAGAAAGTCAAATTTTTATTTTATGCCTATTGAAATTATTTAACTATATATGATAAGCTACGTTAATTATATTAAAATTGATTGTGTATATATATTATGATTGCAGAATTTATATATAGAAACTCTATGTACGACATAAATTACCAAAAGCGCGTCTATTGGCTAGTGTGGCAAGAATATTATAAAGTTTTCGTTCCAATTAAACGGAAATCAAATAGAAAATAAAGGTGAAAACACAATGAATATATTACCTTACCTTTTCTTTTCGTCTTTGCTTGGACTTTATATTAAAATCACAAATCAAACTTTTTTTATGAAATCGTTTAAACAACCTAATGTTTTCAAAAAAAAGTAAAACATTTTGAGTAATTGCATTCAAAAAGTGTCTTATTTCTATTAATTTTTTAAAACGGTTACTCAGTCAAATTTTTATTTAAAAAATCTTAATATTTTTAAGTAAATAGACCAATGTCATTACATGTGGACATCCTTTGTATACTATATTAAAAAATTTTTTTTTTTTTTATAGTCACGATTTTCAGGAATTTCTTTATAAAATTTTAACGACCACGATTTTTGGCTAATATTAATATTTGTTGTAAATATCAATTTTTGTATATTTATTTAGAAATAAAGTAAAGGAAACATCTAAATAAATAGAAACGAGTAATAATGAATAATATTTGTAATACTACGTTTTCATTGTGAGACTAAGAGAACAAGATTAAGTTAATTTGTATTTTTAATATACACTGTTTACATTATACATTGGAGATTAATTTTAACGATTCTCTTGTTGTGTTTTGTTTTGTGTGTTTTTTATAAATTTCTGTAAATAAAGCATTTAATTACAATTTTATACAAAACAATTGCAATATAAATTCAATAAATAGTTTTATAAGAATTATTTAACAAATTTCAGTTATAATTATGTATAAAACTATTTTTTAGCGAATTCATTAAAAATTTACTTATTTTAACATTTTCAAACTTTCAATTCTTTTTTTAAATTCTTTTTTTTGACGGCAATCATAATATTCCCTTAGGAAATCAGAAATGAGTTTGAAATTTCGCAAATCATTTTTAAATAAAACCCTGTTTTTAAGTTTTTTATGGCGTTTATATTGTGAGATTTAAAGTAAATTAAAGCAAAAATTGAGCTGAGAGTACTAATCTCATTGTTTAATCTCAGATTTCCCATACAAAAGCTAATCTCCTTTTGGTCGAGATTAATTTTAAATTTCCATTGAAATGGTTAACATTTTCCTGTGCAAATCGCTTAATATCGTAGACTTTTTACGATCTTAGATGATTTTGTAAAGAAATGTCAAAATCTATTCAAAGCAAACATTGAAAATTTGAAAATACCGAAGTAAATAAAATTTTTATTAAATTTGTTAGTTTTATACATAACTGAAAATTGTTAAATACTCGTAATTGTTATAAAACTATTTATTGAATTACAATTGTTTTGTATAAAATTATAATTAAATGCTTTATTTGTAGAAATTTACAAAATATACGAAACAAAACACAACAAGAGAAACGTCAAAATTAATCTCCAATGTATAATGTAAATGGTGTAGATTAAAAATACAAATTAACATAATCTCGTTCTCTTAATCTCATAATGTAAACGTAGTATTAGTTAATGTAATTAAGATTTTGTCGTTTCTATTGACATGAACTGATGAACTGATGCATGTGAAATAGCTTTTGTGTCAGAAAGTTCTGTAAAAGTTGTAAGAGAGCTATTGTTTATTTGTTTACATTTCAATTATAGGCAAATGATATTTTGTTTTTTATTGTTAGCAGAAATAAATTAATTTCTCATAACAAACGGAGAAAATGTAAACATTTTAATTTATATCTATGAAATAATTCAGAATATGAGTGAAGCAAACAACATAGAACTGTCAGTTCTGCGTCACACATAACCATTTGTTTTTGCCGGAAGCCTTCGGAGAATTGAGGAAAACCAACCACAGAAGGAACATCATCCTTCACTATGACAATGCAAGCTCCCACACATCAGCTCAAACAAGAGTTTATTAGCACACAAAACGTTGTATTAATAGGTCATCCATCTTATAGTCCTAACTTGACGACCAACAACATTAAAACATTTAAACAATTAACATTTTGGTCCCAAACATAAAAAAAATGTGGCGATCGTTTTTCTAAGCCCAAACAAACCGTTGCGACATTCAAAACCGTGGTTTTGAAGATATTAACTTTAGAGTAGAAAACTGTTTTGAAAATTGATTCAATCGAATGCGAAAATGTATTGCTCATCATGGAGAATACTTTGAAAAACAATATAACCATTTTCACTGAATAATCACTTTGTTTTCATTGTTTGGCGCAAGGCTTAAAAGGCAACCCTCGTAACTTCTAAATTTAATTCGTAAATTTAACTTATTTTAATAATAAAATTTAAGATATTGCTTAAATAAAAAAATTTATTTTTTGAGTGTTAGATTAACTTACTTTGCTAGTGAGCGAACAAAATTGCTGATTTATGTAATGAAAACTTAAGCAAATCACTTAACAAAATTTCGTATTAAAATTTATATAAACTTAAAATGTTTGATTAGCACTCTTATTAATTTAGATATTTATAAGTATAATTTATTTATAAATTATTCACACAGCGCAATTTTTAAGAAAATTAAGTTAAAATTACAATCTGATTCTATACAAAAATCCAGTCAAAATTATGATTGATTTTAATTTTTATACTGAACTCACACGGGAGTTTTTATTGCAATTTTTTAGCTGTCAAAAATTTTAAACTGACATCTAAAATAAAAAAAGAAAACTGTAAAAATCGATTTACACGATATATCATTGACCGTAGTTTTTTCTTTCAAAGTAACAAAAAAATACACGCAACTTACGAAAGAAACATGTGAAGCAAAAAAAAGCCCTTAAAACCTTCAGAGTTAGATTTTACTCGCAAAAATGTTTACGTCTTAAGTTTTAGTGCAGCCAACTTCAAAAATATGTCTATTATGAATGTTCACTGAAAATATATTGCAAAATTTCAGGCATCCGTTAATATCTCATGAGCAATAATAAATTTAAATAATAAATAAATAAATGAATTTAAATATATAAGGTACACAACACAACAAAATACATATGTCAAAAACAAGCATTTAAAATATTTTGAAAGTAATGCCAATTTGTTTCAACCAGACTTAATGTTGTTTGTTCACAACTCTGAAAGAAAAAACTGTGACTATTCTAATTTGTTTGTCAGATTTATCATATGTCCACACTTTGTAATTAATTATTTTGCTACCGAAATCCAGAACAATATGAAATGACAGCTGAAATTACAATCAAAGCTCGCATGTGAATCCAGTATTACATGAAACGGTGTTTGTAATTTATGTAGTTGTGTAGCGGAATTTTGAATTATAAAGTAGGGCAAAACAAAATAAAATATTGCTGCAATGTTCGGGATATTCAAAAAAAAAAAAAAAATCAAAATACAATTAAGATTGCTGTGTGAAAGGGGTTTCAACAATGCGTTGTCTGAATATACGATAAATATATACATATGTTACAAATTAAAATATACTGTATTTTTACCAATTTAGCATTTATTGTAATTTACTACTAATCAAAAACTCTTCTATTAGGGTTATAGTATTCCGTAAAACATGGGTACAATTTACTGAAGAAGCAACATTTTTAGGTATTGTTTTCGATAGAAACTCAGTTGGAAGAAAATTATTTAAGTGTGCACTGAGGACTGCCAGTAGTTACGTAGAATCTTTAAGCGATGCCGGCGGTAGCATGCTACTGGTAGGGCCTCCCTTGCCGGTAAGGTCGAATGAGGAGTAATGAAACTAGTTCACAACTTAGGTAATTATAATGAGCGCCTGCAAAAGGCGTCTGTTCTCCAGGTTAGGAGCGGCCAACTAATTTTTATACATTTTACCCAACTTTACTTTTTACCCATCGTCAGGGTGTTGCTCCTTTCTTTGACTATTTTCTGGAACTAAAACTTGAGTCTAAACTCGTTGGAATTACAGTCTCCAAGTGATACCTGTACATATACGGCGAATTCACCTGCTTGGGTAGCACACAAAACGAATTTGAAGGTGCGAAAATCACGTTTAAACAGAATCTCTACGTTAGGTGCAACTGTAACCACATGGCCAAATGTTTCCCTATGTCAGAAAGCTAAAGGTCGGAATTCAACCATGTATTACTCAATGGCTTTACATGGCTGTCATTAAACCAATATTTTTATATTGCATCACCGTATGGTGGATGGCACTTGACAAATCGTCGTACTGTAATGTACTTAATAAGGTTCAGCGCAGAGCTGAATTCTGCATTAGAGTGGTGCTCTGTGCAGCACACCTTCTAGTGCGTTAGCTTTAGTGCACCACTTAATGCCACTTGAATTATTATTAAGTATTTTGCAGCATCATCTGCTCTGAGACTCAAAGCGACATCGCTTTAAAGTCCTTGAGTTCAGTCCAGATTACATTTACGACAGTCTTTGACTGCTACACATCTCTAAATAAGATGTCGACACATTTCAAAATTTGTTTAAATCGGGGTTCCGTGTCATAGAGATATTTTCCGCAATTATAAAACAGACGAGCTAGACATTCAGGGTGCTTAAAGAAGCACTCGGAACACCTAAACAATCTGGGCATATCGTCCACATCAAGCAAATTGTCACTGAGTTTTTCCTATGCCGAACTTTTTAATAAAAGATAGTTAGACTCAAAAATATGCAGGCAGCTGTACACAATTTGGTCACGCTCCCAAAAAAGAAAATCCTACTCCCTCATTAAGATGCCTCGTAGAGATATTAGTCTTGTAGTAGTTTTAGGAAAATTAAATCTCCTTTTCAATCATACCGGCAAAGTTGTGAAAAGGACAATAAAAGTGCCTCCCATTTGATTTGCTTCTGTACAGCACATGTGTGGTATCACCTTTTCACTTAAGAGGCTTTTTTTAAGGATCTTGGTGAACTGCAAGATCTTCCCTTGAATAGCATTAAAATCTTTGCCAAAGATTCTAAGTGGTTCTAACCCCTACGTTTTTAAATATAAGATAACACAAAGGACCTGTAGGTCTAAATGGATCCCTTGATACCGTCGGTATAACCTAACCTAACCTACTTTACTTAGCTGATATTCCAATAATTCAGTTGTCACCGCAGCATTTGCCAAAGCAAAAAGTTGTATTAGCTTTAAACCAACTTCAATCTCACTTATTTTGGGTGAAGAAATGGTTGTCCAAATGACAAGTAAAATTAATGAACTAATATGTAGACGCGTAATTTTTACCGTGGTATATATTTCTAACAATTTTACTTAATAGTATTACCATACGACAAGGAGATAATATAACGCCTTTAGGTATTCATCTAGATAGGCGACTAACTTGTTGAAAACACATTAAAGCCGTAAAACTACAATAAATCTCTAAGCCAGTAAGTTGCACTGGTTTATTAATAACAGATTCCGCCTGTGCCTAGAGTATAAAGTACTCTTCTATAACAACATTATAAAACCAATATAAACTTATGATATCCTGCTATTTGATAATGCTAGTGCTTCAAATATTGAAAATATCCAAAGAGTTTAGTCAAAAATACTGAGAACAATCAATGGTTTCCCATGATAAATTAGTAATGAAAGCATCCACCGAGATCTAGAAATTCCCTTAGTTAGAACTGAATATGATGATATAAAAAAAGGCTGACATTTTAATCCCTTAGCTAGGAATCTCGCACTTCTATTCACTACTTACCGTCTAAAAAGAGCTGACCGTCCAGCCGTTAATTAAAATACAGAAGGTTCAAGGAAAAACCTCACTCTTTTCTTAGTGATCTAATAAAGTTCAATTGTTTTCTTAACAAATCACCTAACATTCATTCCAGTGAAATTGAACCTATTGATCTAAGTGAGGTCTGTGATATAAGGTTTATTTATTTTATTGTATAATTATTGATAAGATTTTTAAACTTATTGTTAATCTCATTGCAAGAGAAGATACAAACGGCCTAATTGGTATAAACATATGAATGCAAACGGAATAGTTGCTCTAAAATTCTACATCTCACTAAGCCGCTGTTTAATAATAACAGCTTCAACCTCAAAAATAGAAAGTTATTATATACTCAAATAATCAGGCCAGCACTACTGTACCGATGTGTTACTTACAGCAAAGCCTTAAATACTGTCATAAAGCAATTACAGATTGCACAAAACCTGGCTTTAAGAAAACTAATTAAAATTCCTTGGTACATTAAAAGAACAGACATTCATAGAGATCTAAGAATCGACTCAGTGGAAAAATATATTAAGGACAGAGCCCTAAAATTATTCACAAAAGTTGATACGTTGCCCAACCCTAAGTCCACCTTAGAACGCACAGGAAGATATGCTGATTTACGGTCCGTCATCAGTTAGAAGATAAATAAATCATAATGATTCTAGTATAGTTAAAGTTTAATGTTGGGCTGGGATAAACCCCCCTGCCACAAAAGAGTAAAAGTGCGCAATAACACTAACTCAAATAATAATAATAATAACAACAACAACAACATGAGTATTTAAAAAAAATAGGAATTATTAAAATTGTTCTGGACGTTACCAAACTGCCAGTGCTGGCGAATACAAGGTAAAAGCGTATCGTATGGCATTGCGATCATTAAATAAAATTTGTGGACTATGTTGAGGTTGTTGAGCTTAGATAAAACATTTGGCCGTGAGAAATCTCTCTGAGTGTTGCTGAACTATAACGCAGTTGGTTAAACACCTCGAAGGCTGTTAAAAAGGTTTTAGGACAACAAAGTAAACATCTTACTCCTAATGCGCTGCAAATCACAAAATTCTCAGTCTTAGAAAACATGTCTTCAAGTCAAGAGAGTAAAATTATTACGTTCGCTCTATAATCTTTGATCTGTTGTACTATAAGAAATAAATTTATGCCATACTATGTCCATAACATGTCTCGTACAAATACTTACAATGTTAGTTATAATAGCGTTATTATATAATATATTTTAAAGGATATTATAATTCTCATAAGGTTCAAACTAATTGTTTACCTCTCAATGATGGTGCTTAAAACGATCATAATTGTAATTTAAAGTAGTGCTTTTTAGCAAATCTTCTAACACGCAAATCATCTAAAGTATATATATATATGAAGTATATAGATAGTAGAAGTGTATTACTTTTTATTAGCAAGTTTAATATATTATTACTTCTTTATAGTATTTCAAATGAGAAAGATGTTCTTATACCGTATGCACTATAAAGAATAGAGCATGGACATAGTTTGTCTAGATAAATATCTATTGTTATTGATAAATCTTTATGACGAATTAATTTTTCGATAATTGTCGGCGTATATAAAACTAGTGTCTCAGTGTTTCACCTAATCGATTAAAACTTTACAACTATATGGATTTCTTGTAAATGCAGATTAAGTCTACGTATGGTCTAATTTGTTTAACTGTAATATGTAACGCCTATTTAATTTATTAAACTCTTAAATTATAAAAATAATGAACCGTGTCAACAATACTCGTCTTATGTTGAAGTTTTTCCCAGTTAGTGCAACTGGGCGCTTTTACTCTTTCTTAGAATCCATCATTTCTGTTTGAGTAATTTATGTATTCCTCACAAGTTTTGCTAATTATTTGATGAATGATCTAAGAGCTGCACCCTGTACGGCTAGTGACTGCTCTGAGATTAGATAGTGCTATGTAGGGTAGCCTATCAGTTTTTACGTATAACTTCAGGGCTCTGTATCTTATGTATTTTTTGAGAGAGTCTATTCCGAGGTCTCTTAGCATGTCATTTGTGCAGATGTGTCTTGATACTTTGAAAAGTCTTCGGAGAGCCTAACTGGATAGTAGAGTTGACAGCTTTGTATACGCGATACACGTCTCTGTAATAGAAAACAAAGAAGAACGGTTGCGTCTTTAGTTTTAACGGTCTCCGCTGAAAGATCTACTAACACAAAGATGCTGAAGATATGGTACTTCTTTTTTTGCTCTTACGATTCGATCTTCTATACATTGCCAATATATATTCTGTGCATTTATGTTTAGAGTGTTAAATTTCACACTCTTACTTATGAAAGGTTTTCTAATACTTTTATTTTATCATCACATGTACACAAACTAAACGTAATTCACAAACTCTGGAGCATCTGCTGTGTAAATGCCCGGCTCTCTTGAGAACTCGACAAAAATTATTGGGAACTGTCAGTTTTACAGAACTGGAGCACATAACTGAGGTTTCTGTTGAAATCCTGATAAAATTCGCTAACAACACGCGCATCCTAAGTGATATGCACTATCATTAAAAATTAAAACTCTGATCCAGTATCGCAATGGATCTTAATGGTATACGCGTGGCGCTTTTGGTTTGCCAATATAACTTAACCTAACCTAACCTACCATTTCATCGATGAATTATTTGAAGAAAAAATTGTTCGGTTCCACGGTTCAGGTTTCTGGGTATGCTTATAGCGATAAGTGTCATTTTCACGAAATTCATTCATCCAAAATCCATTAAATGATGTACAAAAGAGATTCGATTATTGCAAGTGCAAAAATAGTATAAAAAACTTCGGCGTAGCCAAAGTTAGTTTTATTGCAGATACTTAGTTGCTAATATTTTTTAATCAATGGAGAATTCTTACATATTATTGATGTTCTTTGACTTATCACAAATAATTAATATAATTTAGTTAGAATAGAGACAATTGCGAATAAAATGCATGAAAGTAGAAAAACGATCAGAATTTATTTGACTCTAGTGTTTGTTGCGATGGCGGAAGTAGAGAAGAATGTATGGTATTGTTCATTATAGTGGAGATGAGTGACGACGATGAAGCGGCAGATAGTAACGGAATTCTGTGAACCACTGTTGATGGTATGCCAATGTGTAAATCAACGTTTGCTACGGCTTGCGTTGAAGGAATGGCTATGTTTGATTTAATTGCGCTCCTCGCGGCATCACCTGTCATTGATGGTGTTGCACTTGCATTAGCTGAAACCGGATATTGCAATTGTAAAGGTCGGAACTGACATTTCTTTGCATGCGTGCGCATATTACTGGACTGCGTAAAGGCTTGTTTGCAATTCGGATGCGGGCAGACATACGGTTTACAGCCAGTGTGATAATTTAAATGCGTTTTAAGATGATGTTTTTTGGTAAAAGCTTTTGGACAAATAGGGCAATTGAAAGGCTTTATACCTAGAATTGAAAAAATAAGTAAGCCAAACAAATATTAGTATGTTAGATATTTTCAACCCACCTGAATGTAGTCGGTGATGAAGAGTCATATTGCTACGATCCGCAAAGGACTTCCCGCAAACAGAACATTTGTATGGTTTCTCGCCGCTGTGGGTTCGCATATGCTGTTTAAGTAACATTTTTCTCGAGAACCTTTTTCCACAATCGCTGCACTTATGCGGTTTCACCCCCGTGTGAATGCGGACATGCATATTAAACGCCACACGTTGGTTAAATGATTTTGGGCAGTACATACACTCGTATTCCTTTTTGTTGCGATGTATTTTCATATGACTGCTTAAGTAGCCCTTATCGTTAAAGGTCTTCCCGCACTCGGAACACTCGGCAGCAAACTCCTTCGTACCTCTGTGTACAGATAAATGGTATTTGTAATTACGAAGCTGCGAAAATCCTTTACCACAATCCGTGCATTCGTACCGCGGTGACTTATGCGTTTTTTCGTGTGCCTGGAAACATATTTTTTTTTTAAATTATACAACATTTTATTGGCTTATCTTATGTCTCTCTCTCTCTCTTTCATTTGCTTGCTTAGACAAATGTTGCTAATACCTTCAACAGGTAAGTGAATATTATTACAGGCTATATAACTGATTGGGTTACCAAAATTTTTTCACAAACACACAAGTACGCAGGTTTCAAACTCGGCTCAAGACTGACTCGACAGTTTAGTCTGAAAACCAGTTTATTTTTTCTTTTATAAAATTTGCATAACTACTTTTTCTTTTCTCTTGCTACATCTTGACATTGAAATTTATTGCTCCGCCCACAAAAATACTGTAGCTCCACCCCAAAAAAAATTATCATTAAAATTTTGTATAAATCTTTCTAAAAATCTCTAAATAATATTAAGTCAAACTTAATTACGAATTGACTAATTAAAAAAATTTAATTCGATTTGAAGAAATTATTTCGAAAGAATTTAGTGAAGTTATCAACAAGAAAATTAATAGAAAATTATGTATACAGTGAAAACTCTCTCGAACAGATACTTTCTGTCAACCAACTTTTATTCGTTCAAAAGCGATGTTCGACCGAAAAACGTAAGGTTGTTCCAAATAATAATATTTTATAATATTAATAATTTAATTTATAATTTAAATAATAATAATTTAGTCTTAAAAAATTTGTCTACTCATTACAAGACTTTATTTCACATGGATGTGCATAATGAGAATTTTCACTGTAAGAGTATATGGTCACTTTTATATATATATTATATATATATATCTATATATATATATATACAGTTAAACTTTCATAACTCGAAGTATCATTTTGCAAAGAAAAGGTTCGACTTGTGGAGACCTCAAGTTAAAGCATTATTTTGTAATTATATGTAAATTGCTCTCTAAACCCTATTACACACTATTTAGTTCGACTTATATATTTAACTACCAATAAATAATAAATAAGAATTAAATAATATAAGAATTTAATAAAATAAGAATTTTGTTTAATTTTAAGAGAAAGTCAAGACACATTTAACGTAAGAAATGGTTTATCTTTATGAGCGAATACTTTATACATAATAGAATAATAGTAGATCAGAAACAATATATATATCAAATATAAAGATATAAAAGATAAACATAAAAAAGAATATATAAAATATATATATATATAAATCATAAAAAGGTTTTTCGAAAAATAGACATAAAAGACTACAATAACAGAAATTCTTTTTATATTATTTTAATAAATAATAAACAATAATAAATAATAAATATATATATATATAAATATATTTTATGTATTTTATATATTTTATTATATATTATATATTTTATATATAAATAAAATACTCGTACATACTATATGTATTCGACATGAAATAAATATATAATATGATATATGTAATGGTTTATCTTCATGAGCGAATAGTTTATATATAATAGAATAATAGCAGACCAGAAACATAATATATATCAAATATAAAGATATAAAAGATAAATATAGAAAAGAATATATAAAATATATAAACCATAAAAAATTTTTTCGAAAAGTAGACTACTACAATAACAGAAATTCTTTTTATATTATTTTAATAAATAATAAACAATAATAAATAATAAATATATATATAAATATATTTTATGTATTTTATATATTTTATTATATATTATATATTTTATATATAAATAAAATACTCGTACATACTATATGTATTCGACATGAAATAAATATATAATATGATATATGTAATGGTTTATCTTTATGAGCGAATAGTTTATACATAATAGAATAATAGCAGACCAGAAACATAATATATTTCAAATATAAAGATATAAAAGATAAATATAGAAAAGAATATATAAAATATATAAATCATAAAAAATTTTTTCGAAAAGTAGACTACTAGAATAACAGAAATTCTTTTTATATTATTTTAATAAATAATAAATATAAATATATTTTATGTATTTTATATATTTTATTATATATTATATATTTTATATATAAATAAAATACTCGTACATAATAAATGTATTAGAAATGAAATAAATATATAGTATGATTTTATGTAATATGTTATATACCATATAAATAATATGAAACATTTATACAAAATAAAATAAATAAATGATATGAAATATTTAAATAACACGAAGTAATATATATAAATGATATGAAATACAATGTAAATTTTTATAATATGGAGCACATAAATAATATAATATGGATAAAATTAAATAATATCGAATAAATATGATAATGTAATATGATATATTTATATAATGCAGAATATATAAATAATACGAAATAAAATAATATGAACTATAAATAATTAATAGAAATAATAGAAACTATTAAAGTATATATAAATAATATGAAATATAATATAAAAATAAAATAAAAAGTATAAATAAGATAGAAAATATAAATAATATTAAAAATACATACAATAAAAATTTATAATATGAAATAAATATGAAAGGAATATATTCTATATTCCATAAATAAATAATATAAATATTAATAAAATTTAAAATCTAGATTAAATGAAAAATGTGTTGTAAATAATATTAAAATATAATATAGAAAATATAATGCATTATTATTATTATTTATTTATGGACTATAGAAATAAAATGAAATATATAAATTATATAGAAAATTTGATTAATGCAAAAGCTATAAATAATATAAAAAATAACATACAAAATATAAATAATTGGAAAATATTAACAGTATAACAAAAATATAATATATGATATATATAAATAATTCGGAGTATATAAATAGTATGAAAAATAAAAATAATATTAAATATATGAATTCTATACAAAATATAAATAATGTGAAAAGCAATATGAAATATATAAATAATACAAAAAATATTAATAATACGATTAAAATTAATATATAAAAAAAAAAATAATATGAAATATATAAATAATTTGAAATTTCTAAGTAATAAAAAATAAATAAGTAATAAGAAAAATATGAATTGTATAGAAAATATAAATAATGTGATATGCATGAATAATACAAAATGTATAAGTAATATGGAAAATATAAATTATATAAAAATAATATGAAATATATAAAAAATATAGAAAATGTAAAAAAAAAAAATATAAATAATATAGAAGAAATAAAAGAATTTGACAAATGTATATGATATGAAAAACATAAGCAATATGAAATATATAAGTAATTTGGAACATATAAATAATGTGAAAAGTAATATAAAATGTATAAATAGTATAGAATATATTAATAATGTATATACAATTTTATATTTATATTTAATATTTATATAAATAATATAATATATATGATTAATTTAAAATGTACAAATAATTAAAAAAAACGTAATATGACAAATATATGTAATATGCAAAATATAAATAAATTCAACATAGAAATATAAAATAAAAAAACTGCACAAAATATATACGAAGTCTATCCAAAACTGCGGACATGCATCCTCATTAAAAAGGTTCGATAATTATAGGTGTACACACATAAAATAATTATTTATATATTATATTCATAAAGATTTTTCGCATAAAAAACACGATCTAAAACAGAAACATTGTCTTGCAACGCGGTAGATCATGTGTACCTAGTATTATATCAGTACATACAAAATACCATAAAATCGGTAACTTCATATATTAAGTAAGCTTTTACGTATAATCAGTTCTCGTGAAATAACTATATATAAAATTATCGGATACTGTTGTATGATCAAGTTCCTACATTTCACAGTCCTTCAGAGTATAAATATCTGGACGATTTATATCACTAGATATGGACTAGGACATAATAAAAATATTTTAATTTTAAATTGATACAGAAGAGCATAGAAGATTGTAGACAAAATAGTGAAGAAAATCGAAACAGATCTAGTATAGTGAATCTATAATAAAAGATAATAAACCTTTATTGCATGTTCCATGTTTGTTATTAGATTTTTAATTGATTCTAACACTCAACGTGTCCGAGATATTTATAACGAATTTTCATGATCAGTTCGTCAGTAAGAATCATGTTAGTGAAGTCGGAACCTCTTATAGTTTTTAATATACTGATGGATATTTATTATTTTTAAAAAAACATTTCATTGAGACTTTTCAGATAATGACAGATATGATTAATATTTGATATATTTTATGTTGAATATGACTGGGATCGGTTCAATTTGGGATATAATTATTATGGTAATATTCGGGTATTTTTATTGGAAAAAAAATTTTTTTTTTGTCATTAAATACATGTGATTTTATTTAGAGGTTGCTTCATTTTGAAATGCTTTAGTTTCGAGAGCTGGTTTCTAAGTTCGAAAAATGAAAAAGATAGTATAGGTGAGGCCTAATTTACAATATTTACCAAAATGCATATACAGTCTTATAAATCACTGTATCTCAATAATAGCTTTCAATAAGGTTAGGTAAAGGATACTCAAGCTACGGAAAAGCCTAAGCTATACACTCATCTCACCAAAGTTTAATAAAATTACTTCTAATGAGGGTTTTAAATTAGAAGTATAAGAATGTTATAATTCTAAAGCAATCAAAAAGTTAAAGTTTATATATTTAAAATCTTTGAAATATTTTTTGTAAATATTATAAAATAATTTGTTACAATTAAAACAAACTAAAGCAGTATAACAGACCCACTTGTGGTCGCAGTGCACAGAGGGTATTATTATATATACAAATACATACATATAGTATAGTAAGCACAGCAATTCTATAATTGCACTTTTATTCAACAGATATTACCTCAAGAGTTTCAGAGCATCCAAATACTTTCTCGCAGATACGACATTTGAAACTTAATTCCTCGAGGTTTGACGTCACTGAAGCGGATGCTGTATTGCAGCGATCAGCAAAGTTCTTCGATGATGCCGTCAGTAAGTTAAGGTTAGTGACGGTGGTAAATGATATCGTTGAGTTCTTGAATAGCATATCTGTTGGTAGTTTCTTTTTATTACAGTTATTTAGAGTATTAAAGCTTGTTGTGCTCGAGGAGTGCATTGTTGGAGATGCCATAGTGGATGCCGTTGAGTTTATATTTGATCCATCCAAAAAAGAATAGCATTTCGCGCAACCACTGCACCTTGCCTTAAGGCAAATTCTTTGGTGTAACGCTGCATTCGTGCCTATCGTCGGTGAATGAGGTAAAGAATGTGTTGTAGTTAATTCATTTGAGTTTAAAATATATGGTTCAAAATAACGCTTCTGGTAGGCACCGAAACTTGTAGGCAAGTTATAAGACCGCGAAATTTGTGATGAGTAGTTGGGTAGTAAATGCGGGAGGAATTGTGTATAAAACTTAGTCGCAACTAAAAAATTGGGATAAACGAAGCTATCGTAGCACTGCATATTCTGATGATATTGTATGCTAGGAAAACTTTGTGTGGGTAAATCACTAGAAGACTTTGATAGATCTAAAGCAGACGAACGTTCAAATGCCGCCTGCAAACTTACACCTTCAGTGTATTCACGAGTTCTTGTGTTAGAGTTCACATTGAACGTATTAAGATTCGAATCACTTTGAAACTTAGCTAAAGGCTGATGTTTCTTTGAAGATGATGTGGACACTTTTTCATTTTGAGAACTGGCACTTAATATTCTATTTATGCTGAAATCTGTTACACGGGGTGATGTTGGCAATGATGGAATTTCGTTTGATTTCGTTTTCATTTTCGCAGGACAGACTTCGAAATTAGGCAAACGATGTAAAATGTTGTGTTTAAAGCCCATTTCGCTATCATTCATCACAATTTATTTAAAAACTGTTATCACTTTATTGTAACTGTAAATATTTGTTGCGATATCGTTGTGTAGTTCTAAATCGACCGTTTTTTGAAAATTGAACGTATAGCTTGTTTCAGATTCCGCGTTCATCTACCACGCACCACGTTAAAAATCGTTATGTTGGCCAGTTTATTTGATTGCTTCAAGTAAACTAGTCTCAAGCAGTCACTCACATCAACTCAAGTTAATTGTCTCCCAGCTTCTCAGCTTCTCTTCTCAGCCAAGCCGTCGTCCAGCATGCACAGTAAGTCGTCTCAACGAATTTTAAACATTTTCAACACTTTCTGCCAAATTGATGTCAACAGCGGACTGATAATTATTTTTATGATCGCGAGCGGAGCGAAGTCATGGGCCTTCTGTTTACCTGTACTATGATTGGTGATGCTACTGCAACTTGCTTAATTATGGTACTACATTAAGTGCAAATGCTGCACAGGTTGTTTTCTTTTTTCATTTGAAGCGATCATCTCAGAATGTTCGCTACTTCGGCTTAGACTACTTCTCACAACATTGCTTGAGTTTAAGAATTTTGTATCTATAAAAACATCACAAATGTAGAATTTAAGTACAATGTTTTTATTTTGTTCTTTAACAATCTCCATATCGACTAAGTATCTAAGCAGTTTCTAACAGTTATATATTTAAGCCTTATATAAAAATATTATGTATTGTATATATAAAGAGTTTTCAAATAAGAGCTTCAACGTTGCTACAAAATGACAAACCCTTAGGTAATATATATGCGAATGTTATTAATGTGAACACCCAACATCATGCAAAGGATATCGCTTCAAGTCCTTGCTTTAGCTCTCTCCAAGAAATGATTAAAATTCTTATTCAGATGATTTGTCTTTGCCCAGCTCATGCATAGCAGCAATTTAACATATTAGGAACCCCTTTTCTTGAAGATCTTAATCAATTACAAGATCTGACATTAAACAGCAATTTAAGCTTCACGAAAGATTCTAGGTGGTTTTAAACCCGGAATTATTCCTATATATATGGATCGCCGGTATAACCTAATCAAACCTACTCAGATGATTACATAGTTCATAAAATCCATGTGTAATATGATGCAAGATCTAATGGAAAATCTAATAATAGGATTACAGCATTTATTTAACAATAAATGGACCAGTTAAAATTGTGCTACTCGAAAACTAATAGGTTGAACCATTATAAAAATTAATTAAAAATCGTCTTACACAAAAATGAAGTAAACATTGTGCTTATCACTGAAACTCAAATTGAACCAAATTGCAATTAAAGTTTGTCAAATATATGTTACTAAAGATAAGTGTGGAAAAACCAGTAGAGCAAAGTCCACAAAAATAGTATTGCGATGATTTTGCACAATTAACACAAACTCCATAAATTATAATAACTATATAGTTACTATCTCAATTGCCTGCCAATATATTGCCTAATAAATTAACAGTTTTCATCAACTTGTGCGAAAGCTTCTAATATAACGATATATAAAAAGGCTAATAGAAAAGGACAAATTCTGAAATTGACACCTATTAACCAGTAGAAAAATCAAAATTCATATTGATATTTAATCTTTCATCTAAAGATGAACATTTTATCAATTCAGCCCTTTTTTATATGTCATTTGAAGTATCAGTGATTTTATCACAACACGAAAAGCCGACACTAGAAATCACTACAAAAGTCTACAACATTGTTCGTAGAGATCCAATTTTGACTAAGTGCAAAATCGCTGATACCATAGGCGTTTCGAATGAGTGATCTATCTTTTAAAAAAAGAATTACTTATGAGGAAGGTTTTACAAAAACTGTATCCAAACAAATTTCTCAACACTATATGGAACCCATTCCATATAAATGAGACTTGAATATATTATCATGATCCTAAATTGAAACAGTACCGTTTACAGTGCACTGAAGCTGGTTGTTCAGCTCCAAAACGAAGTCTGCAAGATCAGCGAAAAAGGTTATTTTATTAGTTTTCTGGGATGAAAAAGGAGTTTTATTGATTGATTGTCTTGAAAAACAAATATTATTGAATATTGTTGCAATTATTGAATATTGTTGATTTAAAACAAATCCGGCCCACGAAAGAAAAAGGCTATTCTCAATGAAGACACAACACGGGAATTGCTTGAACACCCAGCATATTCTCGAGATCTCGAGATAAATAAAAAAAATTAAAAAATGTGGGCTCACATAAATATATATAAAAATTAACTAAGTTACAACTATATATAAGAAATTTAATTATTAATCATACGTTTTTAATATATTTCAATGAAACTTTCAAATATATATTTCTAGAATTATCTCTCCCACAAGAATATAAAATTTATATAAATTTTCACCCCTCTATTCTGTGTACTTGTTAAATTCACTATCGTGCTTATTTGTCAAAATTTTGGTGTTCTGTACTTTAAAAAGTATTTTTCTTGATAAATTATCAAGTTGACAAATGCTCTTGACAAATGAAATGCTCTTGAATAATAGAGCATTAGCATATAGTATCTATATAGAAAAAAAATAAAAGCCATATGATTGGAACTGATCTCAATAAATATATTGTGTTATCAGATTGAAACGATGTTGAAACCACTTATGTTGTAAAACCAAGTTGTCTAATTCGTGTTCGAAAAGAATAAAGATTCATATTTCTATTCAGCTCTCTATTCAAAAAAATGCGACCCAATTTCACATCCAAAACATAAACTATTTCGGAATGTTAATTTTTGTGGGTGTAAAAGTTCTAATTAACAGCATTTGGGATCTGTTCCAACAACAGATTGCATGCGATAATTTATGTTTTGCAGTAGTAAGTTTATGTTTTCACCTCTAAAACCACCTCTAAGGAATGAATATGGGAGATTGCAGCCGCGTGAAGCGGATACAACTCCATTCTAGTAATCAAGGAAGAGAGATTAGAGCTAGAGGTTTAATACCTAGCGGGCTATGTGCATCTAAGCCAAAAGGCATGGGCGTAAAGCTGGGAAATTGAGTGTTGGTGAAGGGGGCGGGGTTATTTCGCAAGCGCAGGAGTACTAGCGGTAGACTTCCCGCGGTTAAAGAGAGGGATGATGGAAAAATCAGAGACCCATTCATCGACTTAGTCCGCAGGGAGGTTGCTAGGGGCTGAGATGTCAGGTGGGAGGTTGTGCAACCACGTGAGGTTGTACGCCATTAGAAAGAAAATTTCAAACATAAGCAAACAAACTTCTAGAAACATTATACAAATAATGCTGAAATTTAGTATTAAATTCATATAAATTTATTAAGTAATTTCATTTTATTGGATTCAATTTTCAGCTTTTTAAGATTTAAAATTTTTGTGATGAGTTCTATTTTATTTTATTTCTTATTTGCGCCACTTTTTATTAATTTAATTATCATAGTGTAAACACTTAATTTTAGTTGTGCATTTATCGCAAATGATGGTCTGGTAAATGTGAACTATAACAATTCTCTTTCTTTTTTTTCAGTTTTTCAGATCTGGCAAATTTTAAACAAGATCTGTAAAATTTTCGAATTCATCAGATGTTTGGTTAGCGTTTTGTAAATAATTAAAATACTGCACCTTGGTGATTTATTATAAAATGGAAAAAAATAATAATTGTCGTTCTGTAATAAAATTCCTTCATTTGGACTACTTCAACAGAAAGAAGAAGAAAGAATAAGAAAGTTTGAAGAGAAGCAGAGAGTTCCTGGCATTATAGGTGCAATTGACTGTACTCATATCACAATCAAAGCTCTAAACAATCGTAAGGAAAATTATTTCAACCGTTAGCAGGAATATAACATTATACTGCAAGCTGTCTTAGATGTAGATACAACGTTTATAGGCATTACATGTGGTTAACTGCAAAAAATTTTTTCTTCACTGCAATTTTGTTGTCGTAATACAACTCTATAAAACAGTTCTACACATGTTTTTCAATATAAAAATTGGCGACAATATTGACCCCGAATATGATGAGGTTGAAATTTGTGGAGACAAATGTAGATCTGGTAATGTTATACCACTAAGCGAAGCTGCTGGCAATGAAACTGTTTCTTTCTCGAATGAGTCTGTCTCAGTCTCGAACATGTGAATGGGTTTATGTTAAACATATTAAATCCGGAAAGGAGATAACACATCTTATTTTTCAAACATGCAGGAATTTAGTTTACATTTTAAACAATATAAGAATATGTTAAATGTTAATTTATTTAAAAAAAAAAAACGTTAATTACGCTAATTCCTTTTGAAACCATGTCTTCCAACCCATTTTTGTATACCATTCTTTTTCTTTGTTGGTCCACAAACTCACACTTTTAGGCAAGGTAACATTGCAAGAAACCCCTGTCCTTTCCTCCTTACTCTATTTGTAACGCTTAGTTCTGATAATAACAGATTTTTATTGTTTTTATTTCAAAAATGATATTTAATGAAATACTAACTGTTTTTGCATATTTATATTTATATTAATTTAAATTTATTTTATGCTTTCAATTTTTCACAAATCAGTATTTCTGCTTATTTCTACTCGTATGATTTTAACGGGCGACATGAAATTTGAAACATATATTCAGTGAACATTCACAATAGACAGATTTTTGAATTTGGCTTCACTGAAACTGAAGCCTTAACATTTTTTGCGAGTAAAGCCTAACTCTGAAGATTTTAAGAGCATTGTTATTGCTCTTGCACATGTTCTGTTTCGTAAGTTGCGAGTATTTTTTTGCTACTCTGAAAGAAAAAATTACGTCTAATGTAAAATTGTTAGATCAATTTAATGCTTTGAATACCAATAAAAAACATATTAATTTGTAAAAGAAAAGCATTGTGTTTTTCCAGGATTATACCAATATATGTTGGCAATAGTACATATTTAGCGAAAAGGAATGATATGAATTTAAATTGAGGAATTGTAAAAATGGATTTTTGTGTTGAAAATCCATTGAAGGTTCCTTGTTGCAATTGTTTCGATATCTTCAACGGACAATAGAGCCGTATTGTCTGCAAAAGTCTGCAAAATTATTGTGTTATTTAGACTCGAAATATCGTGTGTATGCAAAAGATATAATAACGAGTCAAGATGCTACTCTGTGGAACGCCTGCTTTTATTGGACATATATCCGAATTAATGTATTCGCATTCAATTCTGAAGTATCTCTCAGGAAGATACGATTCAAAAAATATTGCGAATTCCATTGGCAGGATCATTCTTATTTTATATAGCAGACTTCTGTGCCACACTTTATCAAAGGTCTGTAATACGTCGAGAAAGGCAACAGAGCATACTCTTTTTTTCAAAGGATTTTTCGATAAT